AGGAGTGGGAATCTTTGAGAACTGGACTGAGGAGTTGCTGGGTTTTTTATCCAGCAGGACAGGGACATTCCAAAACAATTCCTAATTTTGTTTTAACGCTGGGACACAAAGCAGAGTGAAGAGAACTTAAAGCCCACAAATTTTGGGATGGACTGAGCAGTGCTGGGTTCCCCAGCAGATCAGGGACATTGCAAAAAAATTCCAAATTTTGTTTTAACCCTGAGCAATGAACCAGCTTGAAGAGAACTTAAAACCCTCAAAATTTGGGATGAAAGTATCAAATCGGGAGTGGGAAACTTTGAGAACTGAACTGAGCAGTGCTGGATTCTGGGACAGGGACATTCTAAGAAGATTCCTAAATTTGTTTTAACCCTGGGACACAAAGCAGCTTGAGGAGAACTTAAAACCCTCAAATTTTAGGATGGACTGAGCAGTGCTGGGTTCTTTTTCCAGCAGATCAGGGACATTGCAAAAGATTCCAAATTTTGTTTTAACCCTGAGCAAGGAACCAGCTTGAAGAGAACTTAAGGCCCTCAAATTTTGGGATGAAAAGATAAATCAGGAGTGGGAAACTTTGAGAACTGGACTGAGGAGTTGCTGGGTTCTGGGGCAGGGACGTTCCAAAAGGATTCCTAATTTTGTTTTAACCCTGGGACGCAAACCAGTTTGAAGAGAACCTAAAGCCCTCAAGAAAAGATAAATTAGGAGTAGGAATCTTGAGAACTGGACTGAGGAGTTGCTGGATTCTGGGGCAGGGACATTCCAGAAGGATTTCTGATCTTGTTTTTACCCTGAGCAATGAACCGGCTTGAAGAGAACTTAAAACCCTCAAATTTTGGGATGGGCTGAGCAAATCGGGAATCAAAATCTGAGGATTCCCCAGCAGATCAGGGACATCCCAAACGATCCCTGATTTTGTTTTCGCCCTGGCACAGAGCAGCTCTGCCTGCCCCGAGCTCCCCCCAGACAGAACTTTCTGTCCCTTCCCTGTGAGCGCTGCACATTCCAGCCGGTATCACATCCCTGTGCCAGGGGTTGTTGGGCAGCATTTTTATTTTGGTGTGGCTGTTCTCCTGTTTAGCTTCACTCGTTGTGTCTTCGGAGCAAACAATGTGAATTTTTCCTTTTATTTTTTCCTATTAATTCACTGCAAAACTCTTGATGATACTAAAAAGAACCTGCTTTTGACTGATTTCTGCTAGAGCTGTTCTTTCACACATTATTTTTATGGAGTTTTTCATTTGGTTTGTATTTATGTAGTCCAGATCATTTAATCTTCTTTTTCTAGGGTTTCAATTCACTTAATAAATTGATTTTTCTTTCTAGAAGAGTCCTCTGGAGATGTTGATGATGGGAGGATCCTGTGGGATTTCAGGGATTGGAGATAAATAAGGAATGAGGTGAAACCCAGCAGTTCATTTATTTTACTGCAATTTGCCTACATTTGTCTAGGACTTTAAATAGTTTAAAATTAATTTTAAAATTTAAAATAAAGTTTAAACTTTATAAAGTTTATATATATATAAACTTTATATATATATATAAATTTATTATATATATATAAAGTTATTATAAATATATCATATATAACACATAATATATTATATATTACATATAATATTATATATCATATTTAATATATATTATCTATAATATATATAATATATAATATAATATATATTATATATTATATATACTATATATATAACATATATATAATTATATATAATATTTTATGTATTATATATAAACTTTATGTACATATGTAAAAAGTTTATATTATTTTAATAAAATAAATAAAATAAATATTTTTTACTTTATTTTAAAGTTTAAAGTAAATTTAAATAAATTTAAAATCAATTTTTCTAGGAATTTAAATAATTTAAAATAAAGTTTAATATAAATTTTAAAGTTTATTTTAATAAAGTAAAGTACTTAAATCAATTTTCTCTTATTTTACTTTATTTTGAAGTTTAAAATAAGTTTGAAATAAATTTGTCTAGGAGTTTAAATAGCTTAAAATACAGTTTAAAATAAATTTTAAGCTTCATTTTATTTTAATTAAATAAATAAAATAAATTTTCTTTTATTTTTACTTTATTTTAAAGTTTAAAATAAGTTTAAAATAAGTTTAAAATAAATTTGTCTAGGAGTTGAAATAGTTTAAAATAAAGTTGAAAATAACATTTAACGTTTAAAATTTTCAAGTTTATTTTAATAAAATAAATGAATGTTACGTTATTTTAAAGTTTAAAGTAAAGTTTCAAGTAAGTTTAACTAGGAGTTGAAATAGTTTCAAATAAAGTTTAAAGTTTAAAATTTTCAAGTTTATTTTATTTTAATAAAATAAATCAATAAATTGTGAAATAAAAAAATTCCCCCCTCAGGAGCATCCAGAAGCTGTTGGAGTAACAATTCTGGAATTCCAGTTTCCCGCTGTTCTTTGTGCTGCATTTACAGGGGTTTGATTTGAGTGCTCTCCTGAGCCTCCAAAATCAAATTTTCTCCTCGTTTCCCTTTCTTTTAAGTGGGAAATACCTTCTCATCCTCCAATTTATGAGTGGAGCAGCTTGGAATTGTAATTCTTGGACAGCTGGAGTGATTTTGGAATTTTTTCCCCTCAGTGAAGACAAAATCCTGTGGTGATTTAGCTCCCAGGGTTCCTGCTGTAGCTGGTGCTGCATTTACAGGGGTTTGGTTTGAGGGCCCTTCAAAATCAAATTTTCACCTCATTTTTCCTTTCTTTTGAATGAGAAATACCTTCTCATCCTCCAGTTTGTGTGGGGCAGCTTGGAATTGTAATTCTTTGACAGCTGGAGGAATTTTGGAATATTTTACCCTGAGTGAAGACAAAATCCTGTGGTGACTCAGCTGCCAGGGCTTCACAGTGAAGAAAACTTTGCTTTCAACATTTTCTTATCTTAAAAAAAAAAAATTTAAAACCAGACAGGCTTGGATTCCTAACCTAGGAGCATCCAGAAGCTGTTGGAGTAACAATTCTGGAATTCCAGTTTCCTGCTGTTCTTTGTGCTGCATTTACAGGGTTTTGATTTGAGTGCCCTGCTGAACTTTCAAAGTCAAAATTTCACCTCATTTTTCCTTTATTTTAAGTGAGAAATACCTTCTCATCCTCCAATTTATGAGTGGGGCAGCTTGGGGTTGTAATTCTTTGACAGCTGGAGGAATTTGAGGACAATCCTGCAGTGACTCAGCTCCCTTCAGCAGTGAAGGAAACATTGAAAGCGAATTTTTCTTGTCTTTGAAAATAGATTTAAAAAGAGGCAGGCTTGGATTGTGACAGGCAGCCCTAAGGAATTCTTTTTGGGGTTTCCCTGCAGGATGAGGGTTATGGGACAAAAAAAAAACCCTTAAAGGACGAGGTGCTGAGTGTTCCTGAGCGGGGTTTGGAGGCAGCTGAGCTCTCATGTGTCCCTTGGCTGTTTATGGCACTCCTGGGGATCCTGGGCTTCCTCACTTCTCTTCCTCCTCTTCCTCAAAACCACCTTTTAATTGGAGGCTTTGCTTTCCTAAAGGAGGATTAAAATTCTTAATTTGTTTGGAGAACTCAGCTGTCAGCTCTTCCTCTTCCCCGTGGCTGCATGAGGGGTGGAAATACAAATAAAAACATAACAATGGGGTCAAAATACAAATAACAACATAACAATGGGGTGAAAATACAAATAAAAACATAACAATGGGGTGAAAATACAAATAACAACATAACAATGGGGTGAAAATACAAATAAAACCATAACAATGGGGTGAAAATACAAATAACAACATAACAATGAGGTGGAAATACAAATAACAACATAACAATGGGGTGAAAATACAAATAACAACATAACAATGAGGTGAAAATACAAATAACAACATAACAATGGGGTGAAAATACAAATAACAACATAACAATGGGGTGGAAATACAAATAACAACATAACAGTGCTGCTTAAATACATTTCTAAATGAAAATTGACACCTGGCTGTTGTATGGTCAGATATAAAGGCCTAAAGTCTGTAAATTTCTCTCTTTTTTGGTGTGTTTTTAGCTGGTTTTGGGAAATCAAAGGACTGAAAGTGTTTTGTTTCTTCTCCTGTTAAAATATTAATTTTTCCAGTTGTTTCCTCTCTTCTTAGTAATGAAAAGCTGGATATTTGTATTTAGGTGTTTTTTTCTTGTGCTGGCTGTGAGTTTTTGGGTCTGCCACTTGTGCAGTTGATCTTGGAAGGGCTCCAGAGTGGCTGGAGGTTGTTGATAAGTGAGACTGAAACTTTCTGTGAGCCACAGGGCTGAGGGTGCCTCAGGCTTGAAATGAGGAGGAGATAAAACTGCAAACTTCCTCCTTGCAGCTGGGAAAAAAACCAAAAATATTGCTTTTCAAATGAGTTCTGAAGGAGCAACTCGGTTCAGGGCTTGTTGAGCCTCTGAGGTTTATCCTGAGAAAGGGAAAAAATGTGCAAATAATGTGAGAAATGGGAGAGTTTGGGGAATTCCTGCCATGCTGGGGCAGTCAGGGGTTGCCGTCCTCAGTTACAGCTTGGCCCTGGCTGCCTTCAGCTGTGCCAAAAATTGGAGTTTCCCTTCCCTGGCTGGGAGGGAGAAAAAACAAACTGGGAGGGAAATTCTGTAGGAATCAGGTTGGAATTGGTGCATTTGTCAGAATGCAATTTGGAATCTTCATTTGTCAGGAATAAGTCAGGTCCTGAACACCTGGTGGGACACAGGGGCTGTCCCTCACTGCAGCTCTGCCCTGGGGTTGTTGTGAGCTCCATTCCTTCACTCTGCTGGGGTTGTATAATAAATAATATTTATTATCTGGGAATAAATATCTGTGGAAAAATGCTGTGCTGCTAGCAGGGAAATAGGAATTTCTTAAAAACCAAGCAGTAAATAAAGGTATTCCATGTCGGTATTCCATGTGGTTATCCCGTGGGAAGGACACAGAGAGGCGGTGCAGGAGCCCTGAGGCAGAATTGCAGAATTGCTCCTGTTTTCACAGAAAACTATCGAATGAAGAGCTACAAGAACAAAGCCCTGAACCCCGAGGAGATGCGCAGGAGGAGGGAGGAGGAGGGGATTCAGCTGAGAAAGCAGAAACGGGAGCAGCAGGTAAATCACCCCCTCAGCAGCCTCGGTCACCTTAACTGCTGCAATCTTCAGCATTCTGTCCATTAAAGTTTGGTTTCGATCTTTATTTTTTCTGTTCTGAGATCTTGCAGCAGGTAGCTCACCTGGAGAGGCTGGGTCAGCCCTAACTGCTGCAATCTTCAACATCCTGTCCATTCAAGTTTTTGTGGAGTAATTTTTTCTGTTCTGAGATCTTACAGTAGGTAACTCGCCCACCTGAGCAGGCTGGGTGAGCCCTAACTGCTGGAACCTGCAAGGTTCTGTGCATTAAAGTTTGTTTGCAATCTTTATTTTTTCTGTTCTGATTGAGATCTTGCAGGTAACTCATCTGTAGCAGGTGGGTGAGCCTTAACTGCTGCAATCTTCGAGGTTCTGTGCATTAAAATTTGTTTGCAATCTTTATTTTTCCTATTTTGACTGAGAGTTTGCAGCAGGTAACTCATCTGCAGCAGGTGGGTGAGCCTTAACTGCTGGAACCTTCAAGGTTCTGGGCATTAAAATTTGTTTGCAATCTTTATTTTTCCCTTTTTGACTGAGATTTTGCAGCAGGTAACTCACCTGAGCAGGCTGTGTCAGCCCTAACTACTGGAACCTTCAAGGTTCTGTGCATTAAACTTTGTTTGCAGACTTTATTTTTCCTGTTCTGACTGAAATCTTGCAGGTAACACCCATCAGTGCAGGCTGGCTCAGACTTAAGGGCTGCAATCTTTAAGGTTCTGTGCATTAAAATTTGTTTGCAATCTCTATTTTTCCTGTTTTGACTGAGATTTTGCAGCAGGCAACTCACCCGAGCGGGCTGGTTCAGCTGTAACTGCTGGAATCTTCAAGTTTCTGTGCATTAAACTTTATTTGCAGTCTTTATTTTTCCTGTTCTGACTGAGGTCTTGCAGGTTACTCACCTGGAAAGGCTGGGTCAGCCTTAACTGTTGCAATTTTCAAGGATCTGTGCACTAAAGTTTGTTTGCAATCTTTATTTTTGCTGTTTTGACTGAGATCTTGCTTTTTTCTCTTTTTTTTTCCTCCTGGCCCAGCTCACATAGAAAGCTTCCCAAGCATTTTGTTCTTGGGCTATTCGAGTTGTTTTTTGTTTGGTTTGGGGTTTTTTGGTTTTGTTTTTGGGGTTTTTTTCCCCACAGATCTTTGATTTTAAAGGTGGTGGTGGGTTTATTTTAGCTATAATTAATAAATGGGATTATTTCCTGGAGAAACAGGAAGAACAAGTGCAAGTATGGCCTTAACCCTGGGTGTATTTCATTTTTTAAAAGCATGAGGTGATTCCCAAGTGATATCTCTGGAACTAAATATTTCCTTTATTAGCACCTTATCCAAGCTACTTTTTTGCCCATTTTTCCTGATTTTGGTCAAATTCTGCACTTGTCTTCCCTGGTGGCTCAGTGATTTGGATATTTGCATATCTGAGAGCAAGAATTAACACTTATTTTCTGTGCCAGACCAGCCTTGAGAGTGCAGAGCTGCTATTAATGACCCCTTTTTATTCAGGTTACCTCAGCCCAGGAGGGATCTTGGTTGAGGAACAAGAAAATCGAGTTGTGGAGCCTGTTCATGGTTATTTTCTAATAACAACCCCTGTGTTCTGCTCCCCACCAGCTCTTCAAAAGAAGGAATGTGGAGCTGATCAGTGAGGATGACTCCATGTTTGACACTCTCCTGGTGGATTCCTACGTCACTTCCACAACGTGTGGGGTAAGGTGCCTTCAGACAGATTGAATTAATTTAATTTAATTTAATTTAATTTCATGTTTTGGGGCTCTGCAGAGATTCCCACACAAGCTGTGGCTGCCTCATCCCTGGAATTATCCCAGATTTGACGGGGTAGGAGCACCCTGGGCTAGTGGGAGGTGTCCCTGCCCTTGGAACTGAATTATTTTTAAGCTCCTTCCACCCCAAACCATCCTGGGATTCTGTGCTTGCATGGAACTGCCAAAATCCAATGGTTTTATTTCCCTTATTTTCAAGAATTTTTGTGTAAATTGGTGCTGGCAGCTGGAACAGCCATAAACCCTTGGCTAAAATGCAAAGAGGAGATTTGTTCCTGAGGGGGGAAATTCCTTCCTGAGGGGGGAAGATTTGTTCCTGAGGGGGGAAATTTCTTCCTGAGGGGGGAAATTTCTTCCTGAGGGGGGAAATTCATTCCTGAGGGGCAAAATTCATTCCTGAAGGGAAAATTTATTCCTGAAGGATGCAGAGGGACACCAATGGATCCATGAGCCCAGCAAAGCTCAGACCATGCCAAGAAATCCTCATTCCATTGCTCACTTTGGTTTATCAAGGGTTATTTCCAGCTGCAAAATCCTCAAAATCTTCCTCCAGTGTCCTTTTATTCCATTTTATCCCCTCTTTCCTTTTTATCCCATTCCCCCAGCATTGCAAATGTGAACTGGAGGATTTCTGCTGTGTTGGGATCCCCAGGTTTGAATCTTTGGATTTCTGTTTAAGCCCAAATTGTAGGATGTGATGCCTGGAATAATCCCAGTGTGAAATAAAACAATTTCTGTTTCCTCTGCCTCTTTCCAGGAGGGATTGATCACAGGGGAGATGGTGGAGATGCTTTTCTCAGATGACCCTGACCTCCAGTTAGCAACCACTCAGAAATTCAGGAAATTACTTTCCAAAGGTAAAAATAATTCATCCCTATCTAAGATCCAACAGAGCCTTTTACAGGGATTTGTGCACAAAACTTTGCAGGTTGGGGGAAAAAATGTCCATAATTGAGAAATATGATAATATTTTGTATTACTGATGATTGCCAGTTGTGGTTTGTACAGAAAATAATTCTGCCAAGCTGCCCTGATGAGTTCAGCCCAATTTGAGATAATTTAATTAACACTTCAGGTTTGTTAGCCCCCTGTTCACTCCCTGACACTGCCTTGCTGTTTCAGAGCCAAATCCTCCAATAGATGAGGTGATAAACACTCAGGGAGTGGTGGAGAGGTTCGTGGAATTCCTGAAAAGAAGTGAAAATTGCACATTACAGGTAAAGGAGATTCTGTATCAATTCTTCAGGGTGTGGAGCTGTTTATTCTGTGAACCCACAGGTGCTGTGTGGGGAAAATATTTTGAACCCCAAAAATGTGATCTGTGGGAGAAGACAAAACTGTAATGCTGTAATGCTCAGGCAAAATAAATAAATTGTAAATTGCTCCAAATTAAATGATTGGAAAAATAATTTAATTCTGACAAAAAAAAATTAATTCTGGCAAGAAAATAATTTAATTCTGGCAAAAGAATTAATTTAATTCTGGCAAAAATCACCTAATTCAGTTGATTTTATTCTCTATTTTTCTGAATCATACTTATTTTATTCCTTTATTTTTCTGGATTAGGCTGATTTTATTCCTTTAGTTTGCTGGATTAGACTGCTTTCATTTATTTTTCTGAATCAGGCTGACTTTTTTCCTTTATTCTGCTGGATCAGGCTGATTGTATTCCTTTATTTTTCTGAACCACACTGATTTAATTCCTTTGGTTTTCTGAACCACACTGATTTAATTCCTTTGGTTTTCTGAATCAGGCTGCTTTTTTTCCTTTCTTTTTCTGGATCTGGCTGCTTTTATTCCTTTCTTTTGCTGGATCTGGCTGCTTTTATTCCTTTCTTTTGCTGGATCTGGCTGCTTTTATTCCTTTCTTTTGCTGGATCTGGCTGCTTTTATTCCTTTCTTTTTCTGGATCTGGCTGCTTTTATTCCTTTCTTTTGCTGGATCAGGCTGATTTTATTCCTTTCTTTTTCTGAATCACATTGATTTTATTCCCTTTATCCTCCTTCCAGTTTGAGGCTGCATGGGCTCTGACAAACATTGCCTCGGGCACCTCCCAACAAACCAAAATCGTCATCGAGGCTGGGGCAGTTCCCATCTTCATAGAGCTCCTAAACTCTGACTTTGAGGATGTTCAGGAGCAGGTAAGATCCCTCCTCACTTTGAGATTTTGAGGAGAACCACAAATTCAAAATGCAGTGTTGAAATGGAGTGATCCCAGCTGCCTGGAGCTGCAGGAAAATTGCTTTTTCAGCACACTGCCTGTGTGTCCCTGTCAGAAAATGGATGCTGAAGCTGTTGGTGTTTCCTTTCAGGCTGTCTGGGCGTTGGGGAACATTGCTGGAGACAGCTCTGTGTGCAGAGATTATGTCCTGAACTGTGCCATTCTCCCTCCCTTGTTAATGTGAGTAGCCATGAGCAGCTCTGGACCAGGGAGCAGGGTTGGAGCTGGGCCATGGATTGGGGATCAAACCTGCTTCAGAGGGGTGGGATTGTGTGGAGAACATTCCCTACAGAGTGCCTGGCAATGCTGGGATCTCTGGAAATCAAACCTGGTTCAGAGGAGTGGGATTTTGTGAAGAACATTCCTGACAGAGTCCCTGGGAATCAAACCTGCTTCAGGGGAATGGGATTTTGTGGATAACATTCCCTAGAGAGTCCCTGGCAGTGCTGGGATCTCTGGGAATCAAACCTCTGGTTCTGAGTGGGAATTTGTGGATAACATTCCTGACAGAGTCTCTGTTAGTGTGGGATCTCTGGAAATCAAACCTGGTTCAGAGGAGTGGGATTTTGTGAAGAACATTCCTTACAAGAGTCCCTGGGAATCAAACCTCTGGTGTTCTGAGTGGGATTTTGTGGATAACATCCCTGACAGAGTCCTTTGGAATTAAAACTCTGGTTCTGAGTGGGATTTTGTGGATAACATTCCTGACAGAATCCCTGGGAGTCAAGACTCTGGTTTTGAGTGAAATTCTGTGGATAACATTCCTTACAGATTCCCTGCACTGTGGGATCCCTGAGAATCAAATCTGGTTTAGAGGAGTGGGATTCTGTGCATAATATTCCTGACAGAGTCCCAGGGAATCAATCCTCTGCTTCAGAGGAGTGGGATTTTGTGGAGAACATTCCTGACAGAATCCCTGGCACTGTGGGATCTCTGGGAATCAAATGTCTGAGTGAGATCCTGTGGATAACATTCCTTAGAGATTCCCTGGTAATCAAACCTCAGGTTCTGAGTGAGATTCTGTGGATAACATTCCTTACAGAGTCCCTGTCACTGTGGGATCCCTGGGAATCAAATCTCTGCCTCAGAGGAGTGGGATTTTGTGGAGAACATTCCCTACAGATTTCCTGGCAATGCTGGGATCTCTGGAAATCAAACCTGGTTCAGAGGAGTGGGATTTTGTGGAGAACATTCCTGACAGAGTCCTTGGGAATTAAAACTCTGGTTCTGAGTGGGATTTTGTGGATAACATTCCTGACAGAGTCCCTGGGAATCAAACCTGCTTCAGGGGAATGGGATCCACAAAATTTCACTCAGAACATTCCCTACAGAATCCCTGGGAATCAAGACTCTGAAATGAATTTCACTTGAGTGAAATTCTGTGGAGAACATTCCTTACAGATTCCCTGGCACTGTGGGATCTCTGGGAATCAAACCTTGTTCAGAGGAGTGGGATTGTGTGGAGAACATTCCTTACAAGAGTCCCTGGGAATCAAACCTCTGATTCTGAGTGGGATTGTGTGGGTAACATTCCTGACAGAGTCCCTGGGAATCAAGACTCTGGTTTTGAGTGAAATTCTGTGGATTACATTCCTGACAGAGTCCCTGGCACTGTGGGATCCCTGAGAATCAAATCTGGTTTAGAGGAGTGAGATTCTGTGGATAATATTCCTGGACAGAGTCCCTGTCACTGTGGGGTCCCTGGGAATCAAATCTCTGCCTCAGAGGAGTGGGATTGTGTGGACAAGATTCCCTACAGATTTCCTGGCAATGCTGGGATCTCTGGAAATCAAACCTGGTTCAGAGGAGTGGGATTTTGTGGATAACATTCCTGACAGAGTCCTTGGGAATTAAAACTCTGGTTCTGAGTGGGATTTTGTGGATGAAACTCCTTCATGCTGCTCTGGAATCACAGGGTGTCCCTCAGCTCCTGCTCTCTGCTTTGCTGTGGGTTTTTGGGATTGGAGCAGGATCAGGTCTCTCACACCACCTCCCTCAGTGTGGTGATAATGAATTCTGTCAGGCCTGGGCTCTTGTTCTCTGACAAGAATTAATTCCCTGACAAGAATTAATCTTCACCCCACCCTGGAAAAGTGAGGTTTTGTCCCACATATCTGATTTTGCTGCTTGGTGTCAGCCTGACTCCTCACCCCACAGAGCTCAGACTGAGCAGTTTGTGTCTCTTGGTTTGTGGTGACGACTGGGAATGTTTTCCTGGGCTGAACTGGGCCTAAATATTTTAGTTTTAATTCTTTTGCTTCCCTCTATTCCACATCAAGGCCAATAATCCCTGCTGATTCTCTCTTCAGGCTCCTCACCACGTCCACCAGGCTGACAATGACACGAAATGCTGTGTGGGCCTTGTCAAACCTGTGCAGAGGGAAGAGCCCTCCTCCTGAATTTGAGAAGGTGAGGAGAAATGCCCTGGTGGCAGCCAGGAGATGGGGAAAGACCCACTTGGGAGCTTTGGCTGGGTTATTTTGGGCTGTTGAGCAGGATGAGGTTTTTCCTGCTGAGGTTTTTCCTGCATGTTTCATTTTTCCCAACCTTTCTTCTGCACCCCTCAAATAAGGGACAGGCCCAGGCTTCCCTAGAAAGTTTCTTTAAACCATTTTCTTATGAACTCTGGAATTTTGAGACTTCAATTACAACCAACAACTATTCTGAGAGCTGGAAATGCTAAAAACCAGAATTCCTGTCCAGGGAACCTAACTAAAGGTCCTGCTGCCTTTTCAGGTATCTCATCCTCCTTTGGCAACACAAAAATATTTTTAAGAAGTGAAAACATGGTGATTTAAGTGAAACCTCACATGTCAAAGCTGGGAAGCCTTTGGTGAGGGCTGAAATCTGAATTGAATATAAATATAAACCCACTTAAATGATTGTGGTGAACATTGAGAGGCAGAAATGGAGCAGAACTCTTTAATAGGAGCTCCTGAAGTTCAGTGTAACTTTTCAATGTAATCTAAGTGTAGCAACCAAGCTGAGGTGGCTTCAGTGAGGGATGAAATCTGAATTGAGTGTAAATATAAAGCCATTTTATATTTACATATAATTGAGATTGAAATGATTGAGATGAACTTTGAGAGTCAAACGGAGCAGAACTCTTTAATAGCAACTCCCACTGTAACTCCTGAGTGTAAATTAAGTGTAGCAACCAACCTGAGGTGCCTTTGGAGCTGTGCAAGAAGGGATCTGTGGCCACGCAGGGCTTGCCCTGAGCAGTGGGCAGGAGCAGGGGGTGTTGTCCTGCAGCTGTGCAGCTCCTGGCCTGCTGACTAACCCTGGCTGGTGGCTGTTGTTGCAGGTGTCCCCCTGCCTGCCAGTGTTGTCCCGATTGTTGTTCAACAGTGACTCTGACCTGCTGGCCGACGCCTGCTGGGCTCTGTCCTACCTGTCTGATGGTCCCAACGAGAAGATCCAGGCTGTGGTGGACTCTGGGGTCTGCAGGAGGCTGGTGGAGCTCTTAATGTGAGTGACAATCCATCTAAATCCCATCAAACACGGGATCCAGGCACCTGAGCTGGATCCATGAGGGTCTGGAGCAGGTTCACAGCTGGAATGTGCTGGTTTGGCTTCCTGAGCTGAAGATTTTCCACTATGAAAAGATACCTGTGTTGGTCTCAACATCTGCCCCAAAAATTACAAATTCACTGATAAAGCAAACATTATCTCTACAAACTCATTGATAAAACAAACATATCCCTATAAATTTCTGGCTTGGCTTCCAGAGCTGAAGATTTTCTAGTTCTGCTCTACACTATGAAAAAGATATCTGTGTTGGTCTCAACATCTGCCTCAAAAAGTACAAATCATTGATAAAACAAATATTATCCCTATAAATTTCTGAATTCAGCCAATTTTTGAGTGTGGCCAACTGCACAGACAGCTGGGAAGAACTTTCTCCGTTCCCAGATTTCCTTAAAGATTGCAGAGTGTTTTGTGCTCTCAAACTTCAAATGGAAGCCTGTCACTGAGTGACAATCCATCTCAATCCATCTGAATCCCACCAAACCTCCTCTGCTCACAGGATCCAGGCACCTGAGCTGGCCCAGGAGGGTCTGGAGCAGGTTCACAGCTGGAATTTACTGGTTTGGCTTCCTCAGCTGAAGATTTTCTAGTTCTGCTCTACACTATGAAAAGATATCTGTGTTGGTCTCAGCATCTGCCCCAAAAATTCCAAATTCCTTGATAGAACAAATATTATCCCTATAAATTTCTGAAATTCAGCCAATTTTTGAGTGTGGGCCAGCTGCACAGACAACTGGGAAGAACTTTCTCCTTTCCCAGATTTCCTTAAAGATTGCAGTGTTTTGTGCTTTGAAATTTCAAATGAAAGCCTGGTTATGAGGGAAATCAAAAACAGTGGTTGGGAGAAATCAGCTTGGCTTTGTTTCTCCAAAATCTCTGTGGAAAAGGAGAGGGGTGGAATTTGAATTGAGTGTAAATATAAAGCCACTTAGAAATAATTGAGATGAACTTTGAGAGTCAAATGGAGCAGAACTCTTTAATAGGAGCAGGATGCAAAGGATCAAACAATATCCAAGTGCTGCAGCTTTGTTTTCAGTGGCTTTATGCTGTGTTTTGTGTGGCAGGGGATGGAATCCTAAGGAAATCCTGCAGATGGGATCATGGGGAGGGATCATGGTGAATATCCCAGTGGTCTGATGGAGCTGGGTTTGTCTCTGCACACTTTTCCTGCAGGCACAACAATTACAAAATGGTTTTGTTTTGAGTGGCTTTATGCTCAGCTCACCCTGTGTTTTGTGTGGCAGGGGATAAAATCCCAGGGAAATCACACAGATGGGATCATGGGGAGGGATCATGGTGAATATCCCAGTGGTCTGATGGAGCTGGGTTTGTCTCTGCACACTTTTCCTGCAGGCACAACGATTACAAAGTGGTTTTGTTTTGAGTGGCTTTATGCTCAGCTCACTCTGTGTTTTGTGTGGCAGGGGATAAAATCCCAGGGAAATCACACAGATAGGATCATGGGGAGGGATCATGGTGAATATCCCAGAGATCTGATGGAGCTGGGTTTCTCTCTGCACACTTTTCCTGCAGGCACAACGATTACAAAGTGATTTTGTTTTCAGTGGCTTTATGCTCAGCTCACCCTGAGTTCAGTGTGGCAGGGGATGGAATCCTAAGGAAATCCTGCAGATGGGATCATGGGGAGGGATCATGGTGAATATCCCAGTGGTCTGATGGAGCTGGGTTTCTCTCTGCACACTTTTCCTGCAGGCACAATGATTACAAAATGGTTTTGTTTTCAGTGGCTTTATGCTGTGTTCTGTGTGGCAGGGGATGGAATCCTAAGGAAATCCTGCAGATGGGATCATGGGGAGGGATCATGGTGAATATCCCAGTGATCTGATGGATCTGATGACACTTTTCCTGCAGGCACAACGATTACAAAGTGGCCTCTCCAGCTCTGAGAGCAGTTGGCAACATCGTGACAGGGGATGACATCCAGACCCAGGTGAGAGGAGAGGAATTAAGAATTCATTCCCTGCAGGGAATGCAGTGCCTGCCACTGCTGGTCTCACCTGTGCTTCCTTTTCCCCCCAAAGGTCATTCTAAACTGCTCAGCCCTGCCTTGCCTCCTCCATTTATTGAGCAGTCCCAAGGAATCCATCAGGAAAGAGGCGTGCTGGACCATATCCAACATCACAGCAGGGAACAGAGCACAGATCCAGGTACAGCCTTCTCCAGCCTGCCTGCAGTGATCCCACATTCCAGGCTCAGCATTAAGGATTTGCAGCTTTTTCCTTTCCCTGACCCTGGATTGGTTCACTTCTCTTATTCTGCAGCCAAATGAGCTAAAAAATGGGAATAAAATTGGGAATGGCAGCAGCACATGGGCTGAACCCCAGAGGCTGGATCATTGGAATTAGAGGAGATACAGCTCCTATTTCTCCATCTTCAATCCCTTGGAAGAGCTGGAGCTCCTTGAGGTGTAATTATCCTTTTCCTGATCTACCCAAGCACAGCAGAGTTTGAGTATTCCTCAAGTATTGCTGGAATTCCAGGTGTTGTCTGCTGTGCTGGTTATGGAATATCTGCTTTTAATAGGATTTGGCTGAGGAATAAGCCCTTCAGCTTGGGAATTGCCTCACATGGGACTATGGAAATGAAGGTTTCTTTCAGGAAGCCTTTTGGGAAGTGCATTGATCCCACATTCCAAGCTCAGCATTAAGGATTTGCAGCTTTTCCCTTTCTCTGACCCTTAGAGGCTGGATTGGTTCACTTCTCTTATTCTGCAGCCATTTGAAAATTTGCTGCTGCCAAATGGGACTAAAAAATGGGAATAAAAAATGGGAATAAAATTGGGAATGGCAGCAGCACATGGGCTGAACCCCAGAGGCTGGATCATTGGAATTAGAGGAGATCCAGCCCCTGTTTGTCCATCTTCAATCCCTTGGAAGAGCTGGAGCTCCTTGAGGTTTAATTACTGATCTCCATAAGCAGAGCAGAGATTTCAGAATTCCCCCAGTGTTGCTGCAATTCCAGGGTGCTGGTTATGGAATATCTGCTTTTAATTGGATTTGGCTGAGGAATAAACCACAGCAATCCCTTCAGCTTGGGAAGTTCTTCACGTGGGGCTATGGAAATGAAGGTTTCTTTCAGGAAGCCTTTTGGGATAATAAAATTGGGAATGGCAGCAGCACATGGACTGAACCCCAGAGGCTGGATCATTGGAATTAGAGGAGGTACAGCTCCTATTTGTCCATCCTCAATCCCTTGGAAGAGCTGGAGCTCCTTGAGGTTTAATTCTCCTTTTCCTGACCTCCACAAGCAGAGCTTTGAGCATTGCTGCAATTCCAGAGTTTGTCTGCTGTGGTTATGGAATATCTGCTTTTAATTGGATTTGGCCGAGGAATAAACCCTTCAGCTTGGGAAGTTCTTCACATGGGGATATAAAAGTGGAGGTTTCTTTCAGGAAGCCTTTTGGGAAGTGCTGCCAATGCCAATGCCAAGGCCTCTTGTGCCCTCTCTTGCCAGGCAGTGATTGATGCCAACATTTTCCCGGTGCTGATCGAGATCCTGCAGAAGGCGGAGTTCCGGACCAGGAAAGAGGCGGCCTGGGCCATCACCAACGCCACCTCAGGAGGGACCCCCGAGCAGATCAGGTACCCTGAGCCCCTCCTCACTGCCTGAGAGCAGGGGAGGGACTCCTGAGCCTCTCCTCACCTCCTGGGAGCTTTGCCTGCAGGGGAATTGCCAGGCAAAGCAGGGATTTGGAGGGAATCCAGAGAACAACTGAGCCGGGCAGAGCTGGGTTGTAATTTGTGATTTCCTTCTGGATGAGGATAATTTAATCCCAAATTTTCTCCATCCTTCTTTGGATAGTTGAGGCTAAATGTCTAAATTTAAGGACAGTGTGGACTTGACTTAATTTGAGCAGCACCTGGATTTCAGAAGGATTTTGTGGAGAACGTTGAAGGAGTAATTGAGGCTAAATGTCCAAATTTAATGATAGATAAAATTCCAGTGTGGAGTTAATTTGAGCAGCACCTGGATTTCAGAAGTGGCAGTTGGGTAGTTGAGGTAGTTGAGGGTTTGGGTAGTTGAGGCTAAATGTCCAAAATTCCAGTGTGGAGTTTATTTGAGCAGCACCTGGATTTCAGAAGGGGTAGTTGAAGCTAAATGTTCAAATTTAATGACAGATAAAATTCCAAGGTGGGCTTAATTTAAGCAGCACCTGCATTTCACAAGTGGCAGTTGGGTAGTTGAGGTAGTTGAGACTTTGGGTCGTTGAGGTTAAATGTCTAAATTTAATGACAGATAAAATTCCAGTGTGGACTTGACTTAATTTAAGCAGCACTTGGATTTCAGAAGGGGTTGTTGAGGCTAAATATCTAGATTTAAAGACAAGTTAAATTCCAGTGTGGGCTTAATTTGAGCAGCACCTGGATTTCACATGTGGCAGTTGGATAGTTGAGGATTTGGGTAGTTGAGGCTAAATGTCCAAATTTAATGACAGATAAAATTCCAATGTGGGCTTAATTTGAGCAGCACCCAGATTTCAGAAGTGGCACTTGGGCAGTTGAGGATTTGGGTAGTTGAGGCTAAATGTCCAAATTTAATGACAGGTTAAATAAATTCCAGTGTAGACTTAATTTGAGCAGCATCTGGATTTCAGAAGGGGTAGTTGAGGCTAAATGTCTAAATTTATTGACAGATTAAATTCCAGTGTGGACCTAATTTGAGCAGCACCTGGATTTCAGAAGTGGCAGTTGGGTAGTTGAGGTTTTGGGTAGTTGAGTCTAAATTTCTAAATTTAATGTCAGGTTAAATTCCATTGTGGACTTGACTTAATTTGAGCAGCACCTGGATTTCAAGTGGCTCCTTTCCTTAGAAAGAAATAAATCTGAAAACAGGGTTGCATGCAATGCAAATAAATGGATCAAAATTAACCTTTAAGGTAAATTTCTGGATTTTAGTTGGGCTCATCTCCTGTGCTTTCCCATGGAGCAAAGGTGATGCTCCTGGGCAGGCAGTGATGCTGGTGCTGCCCTCCCCCTGCAGGTACCTGGTGAATTTGGGTTGTATCAAGCCCCTGTGTGACCTGCTGACTGTCATGGACTCCAAGATTGTTCTGGTGGCACTCAACGGGCTGGAGAACATCCTGAGGCTGGGAGAGCAGGAGGCCAACCAGAGTGGGACTGGGATCAACCCCTACTGCAGCCTCATTGAGGAGGCCTATGGTAGGTTTGGGCACTGCTTGGGTGATTTTCTGCTCTTTATTGTGTTCCAAAATAGCCAATATTTGTCCCAAAACCTTTTTAAACTCATGTAGTGGGTGAGGAGAAAATACCTGCAAGTAAAAGCTCTGACCTGGAGGCCAAGCTGAAAATGGTGGCTTGCACCAGGAATATGAAGCAGAAATGAGCTGAGCTAAGGAAAAAGTGGCAGTTCTGGGTCTAAAATTGCTCTGAATCTACCCAGATTTGCACTTTAACTCCAGGGAGACTTTGCTTTTCCCTGGAGTGACTTAATTTGGTGCTGATGGATTTATTTTTTTTGTTCCTCCTTGATGCTTTGAGGAGGAACAAGTTCCTATTTTGGTCTGGAGCTCCCTGTGAGCTGGCAGTGGCTGCTGTGCCCTCTCATTGCTCTGAGTGTCCTGGTTCTCCCTGCAAGGACAATTCCTGCAATCCCTCAGGGTGCAGTGTGTGTGTGCTTGGATGTTTTGTGTTCTCCCTGCACTGACAATTCCTGCAATCCCTCAGGGTGCAGTGTGTGTGTGCTTGGATGTTTTGTGTTCTCCCTGCACTGACAATTCCTGCAATCCCTCAGGGTGCAGTGTGTGTGTGCTTGGATGTTTTGTGTTCTCCCTGCACTGACAATTCCTGCAATCCCTCAGGGTGCAGTGTTTGTGTGCTTGGATGTGCTCACTGCAAGGACAATTCCTGCAGTTCCTCAGGGTGCAGTGTGTGTGTGCTTGGATGTTCTCCCTGCAAGGACAATTCCTGCAATCCCTCAGGGTGCAGTGTGTGTGTGCTTGGATGTTCTCCCTGCAAGGACAATTCCTGGGATTCCTCAGGGTGCAGTGTGTGTGTGCTTGGATGTTCTCCCTGCAAGGACAATTCCTGCAGTTCCTCAGGGTGCAGTGTGTGTGTGCTTGGATGTTCTCCCTGCAAGGACAATTCCTGCAGTTCCTCAGGGTGCAGTGTGTGTGTGCTTGGATGTTCTCCCTGCAAGGACAATTCCTGGGATTCCTCAGGGTGCAGTGTGTGTGTGCTTGGATGTTCTCCCTGCAAGGACAATTCCTGCAGTTCCTCAGGGTGCAGTGTGTGTGTGCTTGGATGTTCTCCATGAAAGGACAATTCCTGCAGTTCCTCAGGGTGCAGTGTGTGTGTGCTTGGATGTTCTCCATGAAAGGACAATTCCTGCAGTTCCTCAGGGTGCAGTGTGTGTGTGCTTGGATGTTCTCCATGAAAGGACAATTCCTGCAGTTCCTCAGGGTGCGGTGTGTGTGTGCTTGGATGTTCTCCCTGCAAGGACAATTCCTGCAGTCCCTCAGGGTGCAGTGTGTGTGTGCTTGGATGTTCTCACTGCAAGAACAATTCCTCAGGGTGCAGTGTGTGTGTGCTTGGATGTTCTCACTGCAAGAACAATTCCTCAGGGTGCAGTGTGTGTGTGCTTGGATGTTCTCACTGCAAGAACAATTCCTCAGGGTGCAGTGTGTGTGTGCTTGGATGTTCTCACTGCAAGGACAATTCCTCAGGGTGCAGTGTGTGTGTGCTTGGATGTTTTCTGTGCTCACTGCACTGAGCTGGGGCAGCTGGAGGCTCCTGAGACAGGCCCTGTAGCTCCCAAATCCCTCATTTAAATCCCACTGGAATTTGGGATCAGCTGGGAGCACATCTGGATGAGCCAAACCTGAGATCCAGAGTTTGGCACAGCTGGGTTTGGGTGATTGTGCTCACAGGGGTCCCAGGATGAGGGAAGAGAATCTTGACTCCATGTTTCAGAAGGCTGATTTATTATTTTATTATAAACGTAATATTATATATAACATATATTATATTATATCTATATCTATATCTATATATATATCTATATATATATATATATATCTCAATATATCTACATATAAAGAAAAGCTTAAAAATCTATAAATAATAATTATATATTATAGATAATATATCTTAATAAATTATATATAAAATTATATATTTATATATGTTTATTATATAAATATATATTCATTAATAATATATAATTATAATTATATACATGATATATAATATACCTTAATAAATAATATATATATAATATTTATATAATATGTACTTATAAAATAAATATATATAAATATATTCTCATAAAATAAATATTTATAAAATTTATAAATTATAATTATGTGTAATATTATAGATAATATATCTTAATAAATAATATCTATTCATATATAAATATATTCTTATAAAATAAATATTTATAAAATTTATAAATTATAATTATATGTAATATTATAGATAATATATCTTAATTAATAATATATTAAAATTATATATTTATATATAAAGATATACTTATAAAATATATATATAGATATATACTTTATATATATTATTTATTAACATACATTATATATAAAATATTATATTTATTAAATATATATTTATTATATATATTAAAAGAAAATTCCATAGTAAAACTACACTAAAGAATAGAAGAAAAGGATTTCATCAGGCTAGCAAGGAAAGGAATGGATTAAAATTATAATAAAATCTTGTGAGTGACCAGAGAGTCTGATACAGTTAGACTGTGATTGGCCATTAATTAAAAATAACCACATGGGACCAATCAAAAATCCAGTTTTTGCATTCCACAGCAGCAGATAATCAATGTTCCCATTTCATTTCTGAGGCTTCTCAGGAGAAAAAGATCCTAGCAAAAAGATTTTTGATAAAATATCACAGGATTTATCCTGCTCCCAGAACTCTTCAGAGTGACAGTGGAACCCTGGAAAAAGTTAAAGATAGAATCTCAAATGTTCGGCTTTGTGCTTTCCCAGATCAACTGCACCTGCGTAAGCAGTATGATAAATTATATAATTGATAGATGTGATGATTGTTTAGTAATTAAATGTAATTATTATATAACCATAAGAAGAATAGTGAGAAACTATGTTGGAAATTCAGAGAGGGGCTAAATTTATGGATACAACAGAACAATATAAGTTTAATAATTAACATGAAAGTTATGAAGAGATTTTTGTTTTATTTTTAGCACATCAGTCTCAAAATACAAAATGGAGACATGACAGTTCAGTGATCTACACTAAAAAATGTCTCTTCTAGGAGGGCTCATACAGCAATACATAAAATCATTTCAGTCTACATTTTTAGCTAATTACACACAGAAAACACATATTGACAAGCATTCTATCTAATCTTATAAATCATACGTAATGGTAGCTAAAATAAAGACTAGTTCATAAGAGATAAAGAGCAGAGTTGTATTCATACTAATCTTCTGAAGATACACATTAAATAACTTTGTTGTTATCTTCAAGCTAATTCTACAGAGCTAATTCTTCTATTGTTATTTGTCACGTCTAGTGTTTGGGAAACTTTTTCTTCTTGTATGGGAAACTTTTCTGCTTGCATGGGAAACTTTTCTGCAACGTTAACAAAACTCTAATCTAAGGCATACATACCTTTTTTTTTACCATTTCTTAAAAATCCTCGAACTTTATGGATTCATTCGATCATTTGGGATGTACGGTCGGAGTCAGATTTGGGTTGAATACACCCCGATTCCCAGAGCTCTGAATAAAAAGCACCACAAATAATCCCTCTGTGATTATGTGGTTTTGCACGCTAACAAGAGGACAGACAGCGAATTTCTTTCTCTCATCCCATTCCATTTTCTCCTCCCCAGGTCTGGATAAGATCGAGTTCCTGCAGAGCCACGAGAACCAGGAGATTTACCAGAAAGCCTTTGACCTGATCGAGCACTACTTTGGGGTGGAGGAGGACGCGGCCGTGGCGCCCCAGGTGGACGAGAACCAGCAGCAATACATCTTCCAGCAGCCTGAGGCTCCCATGGAAGGATTCCAGCTATAATCCTGGGGGAAAAAAACTCACAGAACCCCCCAAAAAACCCACCACAAACTCTCTGGAAGGTTTGGGAGAGCAGCTGCTGGTCCTGGCTGGGAAGGTTGGACACACACACTGCAGCTGTGTAGGAAAACTCTGCAAAAAGCAAGAGCTCCTGGAGAGAAGGGGAATTTCTGCTCCTGGTTCCTTTGGGTGCTGCTCACCTTGGCTTTGGAGGCAGGAAGGACACTGAGGTGACAAGTGGCACCTCTTGGTGGCTTCTTCTTTTGTGGTGGTGTCTCCCCAGTGCAGATTTGAACCTCGTTGGGTGAGGACACAGAGAGGAGGGAGCTGTTCTGGCCACAGTAATTCTGCAAAACCTGGCTTGATCTATTTAAATTTCCTTTTTTTTTTCCCTTTTTTTTTTCTCTTTTTTTTTTTTTTTTTTTTTGCACATGTTACTCTTTATTAAAGACTCTTTAATATGCCAAGAGCAAAAATTTAGCCCTGGCCTTCCTCCTTCAGGTGGACAGTCCTGGTGAAGCCAGGACCAGTTCCCTGATGAAAAATACTGAAAATGGACAGAAAAAAATGAGAAGTTCTCTCACTGCTGGGAAGTTTTGGGTTTTTTTCTGCTGCTTCCCTTTGTCTAGATTTTTTTTTTGTTTGATTTTTTTGTTGTTTTTGAAGAACTGCTAGTGGTATTTCCAAGGATTAAAAACAAAACAAAAACAAAACAAAAAAAAAAAAAGCAACAAGAGCCCAAAGATGGGAACTGGGGTGGATTTTTTTGGAGCAGGAAGCACAGCTGCTGTTGCACAGGTTTGGTTTGCATTGTACTGACTGAAATGCTGAAACCCACCTTCATCTTTACTTGAAATACTTTATTTGCCATGAGAAACATGGGCTGAATTCTGGGGTTTTCCTGCTTTGGGGTGGAGGAAAATCCCAGTGCTGATGGGAGCTCCAGCAGCACCAGGTTTTCAGGCTGACCTGCTCACAGTCAGCTAAATGCACATTTTCCTTCCAAAACCAACAAATCTCTGTATTTTTTATATTCTAGATAGGGAGATATTTGTCTAATTGGGCCACAGAGAAAATTCTATATGAAATTCCTGTGATTGCTGTAAATGAGCACTGTGAGGCAGGCACACCTGCAAACCCCCGGGGCTCGGCGCTGCCCCCGCCGCTCCTCCCGGTGCTCACGGAGCTCCCCGAGCCCTCACGGCGCTTTTTGGGCCGCTTTGCCACGATTTCGGTCAAAGCCCCGCTTCTGGGGTGTCCCTTGTTGTGGAACGAATAAATGCACCTGTGCAGGTGTCCGGCTGTGCTGTGCTGTACCGGGGCTGATCGGTGACCTTGGGAGGGGCTCCCGGTGCCCGGTAACGGCGGCGGCGCGCGGGGCGTGCTGGGAGTTGTAGTTTCCGGGGTGGGCGTGCGCAGGGCATGCTGGGAGTTGTAGGCCACGCTTTTCCCTCCTCCTCCACCACCTCATCTTCCTCCTCATCTCCTTTTTCTTCCAGAGGAGCAGGGCGGGAATTGTTGTCCTCAAGGCAGCCATGCGCGAGGCATGCCGGGAGCTGTAGGCCACAGTTCTAATTCTTTCTCATCCTCTTCTTCTTCAAGCGCGGGGCATGGCGGTAGTTCTAGGATAGAATTTCCTTCCTCCTCCTCCTCCTCTTCCTCATCCCCTTCTCCTTCCAGTCCTACAGAGCTGTAGTTCCTGTGGTGGGCCCCGCGCTGAGCATGCCGGGAGCTGTAGTTCCCGTGCCCGCTCTCTCGCGCTGAGCATGCCGGGAGCTGTAGTCCCCTCAGCGCCTCCCGCCGCGCTTGCCGCGTCTCCCCGGTGCTTCCCGGCAGCCCCCGCGCGGCGGGCGTTGATTGGGCGGCGGCGCGGGCGGGCGCACGCGCGGCCGTTGGAGGCCCCGGGCCGAGCCGCTCCCATAGCGCCGGTACCGCCGGAACCGCCACAACCGCCGCCACAGCGGCACCGGCCGGGCACCGGCACCCAGCGCCCCGCCGATGCGCCGGGCCCCCGTTGGCTGAGGAGCGAGGCGACACCTGCGTCAGACCGCCGGCGCTGACGTCACGGGGTGCGCGCGTGACGTCACGGCGGTGCGGGGAGGGGGCAGCGCGGGGCCGCTTTAACGGGGGGGGGGCGGAGGCGGGGGCTGGGCCGCTCCCGGGGCTATAACGGGGCTGGGGGGGGCGGCTCCCGGTAGAACGGGTGCTGCGGGGCTGGGCTGGGCGGGCCGGGGCTGCCGGTGCCGAGCGAGCCATGGGCCGGGGGCTCCCGGGGCTGCGGGGCTGGGTCACCCCCGAACCCCGTTATACCCCCGTACCCCGGTTATTATCACCTCCGTACCCCGGTTATTATCGCCCCCGTATCCCGGTTATCGCCCCCATATCCTGGTTATTATCACCCCCGTACCCCGGTTAATATCGGCCCCCGGTTCTCGCCCCCGTGCCCGGTTCTGGCCCCGGAGCTGTCCCGGTGCAGCGGCAGCGGAAAAGCAGCGCCCGGGGCGCGGGGCAGGTGCCGGTGAAGGCGAAGGGCGCTGCCCGGACACCCACACGTGGGTGCTGCCCCGGGCCGGGCTCTGGCGCCGCTGTGCCCGCGGGTTTGCCTTCCCGGAGCCCCGGTAACTCCCGGTATAACCGGGGACTCTTCTTTCCCTCGGGGACGAGCAGCAGCACCCCCAGCTCCTCATTAGGGGGATAAAGGGAAGGCTGACAACATCCAAACCCCTCCGGGGATGAGGATGAGGATGAGCTGGGATTTCAGGCAGGGAATTCAGCAGGAATTGACCTCTGTGCTGTGCCAGCTCTGATTTCTGCGTCAGGTTTGAAATCCCAGAATTGGGAAGGGCTGAGGGGGATGTTCCCAGTTGGAAAATCCTGCTATCTGTGGGTTGGGAGATTCCACCAGGAATTATCCTGACACAACTGGAAATCAAGAGATGCTTTCCTCAACACTGAACTGCTCCTTCCTCCTGACTCCTAAAATCCTGCAGATGTCCTCAAAACCTCTCCCTTGTGTCTCTGCAGAGCCTGAGAGGGTGCAAAGGCTGTGATGAAGAACCAGGGAGTGGAGGCCAAGGCAGCTCCACGTCCTTCCAGAACGAGCAGCGGGATGGGGCTGGAAGAGGGAGACTCACCAGAGGCTGCAGCTCCCCCAGAAGGTGTGGGGAAAATCCTGGTTTTCCAGGCCAGAAAATCCTGGTTTTCCAGACCAGGAAATCTAGGTTTTCCAGGCAGAAAATCCTGGGTTTCCTGGGCAGAAAGTTGTGGTTCTCGAGGGCAGAGAATCCTGGGTTTCCTGGGCAGAAAATCCTGGTTTTCCAGGCAGAAAATGTTGGTTTTCCAGGCCAGAAAATCCTGGGTTTCCTGGACTGAAAGTTGTGGTTATTCAAGGGCAGAAAATCCTCGGTTTCCAGGGGAAAAAAAAAAATGGTTTTCCTGGGCAGAAAATCTTATGTTTCCAGGCCAGGAAATCTAGGTTTTCCAGGACAGAAAATTCTGGTTTTTCTGGGCAGAAAATCCTGGGTCTCCAGGTCAGAGAATCCTGGCCTTCCAGGCAACAAAATCCTAATTTTCCAGGGCAGAGAATCCAGGTTTTCCAGGCCAGAAATTCCTGGTTTTCCTGGGCAGAAAATCCTGGATTTCCTGGCCGTTAAATCCTGGTTTTCCGCGACAGAAAATCCTGGTTTTCCAGAGCAGAAAATCCTGGTTTTCCAGGGCAGAAAAAATCCAGGTTTTTCTGGCCAGAAAATCCTGGTTTTCCTGGGCAGAAAATTGTGGTTTTCTAGGCTAGAAAATCTTGGTTTTCCAGGGCAGAAAATCCTGTTTTTCCAGGCAGAAAATCCTGGTTTTCCAGGCAGAAAATCCTTGTTTTTTCCCTATTTCTGTGTCTGTGCATCCTGGAGGAGCTCCCCTCTGCCTGCTGCCAGGATGTTCTGCCTGCTCCATCCCTGTTTGCTCCCAGCTGCTCCTACCCAGGTTTCAAATCCATTCTCATGCTAAAATCCCAGCCCTGCATCTTCCAATTCCTCTGGGAGGGAAAAAGCTCACACACAACCTGCTTTCCTTAAAATAAAAAATAGAGAGGGGGGAATTCTCCCTCCTGACAGATGTCAGGGGCTTGGTCATGCTCTGCTGATCAAAGGAGAGGCTGGTGGGAATGGAACAAAGCAATTTATCCAGCCAGGAAAAAGCTCCCATTCCCTGCAGGGTGAGAGGAAGGGGGAAAAGCTCAATTTATAGGATTGTGCCCCCTTGATGGAGTGACAAAACTGTCTTTTGTCCCCTTAAAAGGGAAATAAGCTCAGAAATTTGTGTCTTTAATTACATAAAAAGAAATCTCGTAGGACTTGGGGGATTTCACCTCAAATGTAAGGATGGACAATTGGACAGGAGGCAAAAATTGTCTGAGCAATTTGCTAGAAAAAGAAGAGAATAAATAAAGTAATTGTTTTTGTGAGGTGTTTTACCAGGAGCAAGAACCTCTTGCACTTGGCTGAGTTTTGCTCTGTGAAGAGTTTTGTTATTTTACCTTTTATTAAATCTGGTTTTTCCCCTATTTCTGTATCCCTGGAGGAGTTCCCTTCTCCTGCCTGCTGCCAGGATGTTCTAGCTGCTCTTTGCCAGGTTTCAAATCCATTCTCATGCTAAAAAGCCCCAAAAAAATAATAAAGAGGCGAGAGGAGGGAATTCTGCCTTTTGACAGATGTCAGGGGCTTGGTTTCCAACACTCCCACAGCAACCACCCTGCTGATTTCATACCTCCTTGGGTGTGAAATAAACCTCCAAGAGCTTATGAGAGCTGGCTGGAGGAGAATAAATCAATTAATAAATAAATTTTTTTGTGGTTTTTTTCCCCTCCCAGCTCCCCAGGAAGATCCCAAATCCTCTCGCGACGTCTCTGAGGAGCTGAGCCGGCAGCTGGAGGACATCCTGAGCACCTACTGTGTGGATGCCAGCCAGGAGAACCCAGGGGAGGATGGGGGGCACGGGGAGCCCCCCGAGGAGCCCGACAAGGGCCGCAGTGACTCCCCCAGGAACGGGGAGCAGGAGCCGGGGGGCCCCGAGATCAACGGGGAGAAGGAAAACTCCAAGGGCAGCGAGGAGTTCCGGCCTGGGGAGGAGGCTGGGGACAGGGACCAGAAGAAAGCTCAGGAGAAGAAGAAGGCCAAGGGTTTAGGTGAGAGATTTTCAACTCCTCAGGGGTTTAGGTGAGAGATTTCCTGCTCCCCAAGGGTTTAGGTGAGAGATTTTCAACTCCTGAAGGGTTTAGGTGGGAGATTTCCTGCTCCCCAAGGGTTTAGGTGAGAGATTTTCAACTCCTGAAGGGTTTAGGTGAGAGATTTCCTGCTCCCCAAGGGTTTAGGTGAGAGATTTTCAACTCCTGAAGGGTTTAGGTGGGAGATTTCCTGCTCCCCAAGGGTTTAGGTGAGAGATTTTCAACTCCTGAAGGGTTTAGGTGGGAGATTTCCTGCTCCCCAAGGGTTTCGGGGAGAGATTTTCAAGTCCCCAGAGGTTATGGGAAAGGATTTTCAGCTCCCCAAGGGTTTAGGATTCCCAGCTCCTCAGGGGTTTAGGTGAGAGATTTCTTGCTTCCCAAGGGGTTTAGGTGAGGGATTTCCTGTTCCTCAGGGGTTTCGGTCAAGGATTCCCAACTCCTCAGGGATTTAGGTAAAGAATTCCCAGCTCTTCAGGGTTTTGGGAAAGGATTCCCAGCTCCACAAGGGTTTAGGGGAAGGATTCCCAGCTCCCCAGGAGTTTAGGTAAAGGATTCCCAGCTCCCCAGGGGTTTAGGTGAGGAATTCCCTGCTCCAGCTGTTCCCGAGGATATCAGTGCATGGATAAATGGATTTTATCCATTTAAAATGGATAAAATTGGGGATAAGTGGATTTTATCCACTGGGGGAAGTCAGAGCCTTGGATGGGTTTGGGAAGATCCTCCTGTTCTGTTCTGGACCCAGTGCAGGCTCTGAATTCTGTGGGTTTCTCTTCTGCTGGGCACAGCCCAGGGATGGTTTTCCCCTCCAAAATTTTCAACAAAATCCACCTGCTCCGTGGGAGATCCTGGGGAGATCCTGGGAACCTGCTCAGCCCCTCCTTTTCCTACCTTCCCATGCCAGATCTCTGTGTAAAGCCATTTTTATCCCATTTATTGCATCATTCCCATTCCTTGTCCCCTTTCCAGGCAAGGAAATCACTTTGCTGATGCAGACCCTGAACACCCTGAGCACGTCAGAGGAGAAACTGGCAGCTCTGTGCAAGAAATACGCTGAGCTGGTGAGTGCTGGGGCTGGGGGAGGCAGGAGGGCCCTTGGGGAGGGACATTCCAGGGTCACACTGGGGCTTTGTGGTGTCCTGGGGCTCCTGCAGGGCTGGATCCCTGCCCAGGAGAGCCTGGGTGGTGCTGGGTGAAGTGTGGACAGAAGGAATTTTGGCAAATCTGGCTGTAAAAGCTCAGTTTCACCCACACAAAGCCTGATCCCACATTTAACCAGAGCCAAGGTGGAATTCCAAGCATGGATGGAGGTTTGGGGCTGTCTGTGCATGTCCTAAGTGCCCCATGGGTGCTTTTCCCTGTGCTGAGGGAACACGGAGCTCCTTCCAATTCCAGCAGGGTGGGAGTTGAGGAAGGAGAAAAGGAAAATCCCTTGGGCTCTGTGTCACTGCTGCTCTGCCCTGAGGTGTCACAAAGCTGCTGGCCTTGGGGCACAGCCTGATGGTGTCTCCTCAGGGGGGGAAATGGTGTCCCTCAGATGTCCCCTCAGAAAGGAAGATGGTGTCCCCTCAGGAGGGTAAATGGTGTCCCCTCAAATGTCCCCTCAGTAGGGCAGATGGTGTCCTCTAAGGGGTGGATGGTGTCCCCTGAGGGGGGTAGATGGTGTCCCCTCAGGAAGGCAGATGTTGTCCCCTCAGGTGTCCCCTCAGAAAAGAAGATGGTGTCCCCTCAGGAAGGCAGATCATGTCCCCTGAAAGGGAAGATGGTGTCCCCTCAGGTGTCCCTTCATGAGGATAAATGGTGTCCCTTCAGGAAGGAAGATGGTGTCCCCTTAGGAGGAAGGATGATGTCCCCTCAGCAGGGAAGGTGGTGTCCTCTCAGATGTCCCCTCATGGGGGCAGATGGTGTCCCCTTGGGAGGGCTGATGGTGTCCCCTCAGGTGTCCCCTCATGAGGGTTAATGGTGTCCCCTTGGGAGGGAAAATGGCATCCCCTCAGTGGGGGCAGATGGAGTCCCCTGAGGAGGGTGGATGGTGTCCCCTCATGGGGGCAGATGGTGTCCCATCAGGAGGGAAGATGGTGTCCCCTCAGATGTTCCCTCATGAGGGTTAATGGTGTCTCCTTGGGAGGGAAAATGGCGTCCCCTCAGGAAGGAAGATGGTGTCCCCTCAGGGGGGGAAATTGTGTCCCCTCAGGTGTCCCCTCAGGAGGGTGGATGGTATCCCCTCACAGGGCAGATGGTGTCCCCTCAGGAGGGAAGGTGGTGTCCCCTCAGGTGTCCCCTCAGCAGCACAGGTGGTGTCCCCTGAGGAGGGCTGATGGTGTCCCCTGAGGGGGACGCCTCTGCCCTGCTGCCCCCACAGCTGTGCCTCTGCTCCCCTGTGGCAGCTGGAGGAGCACAGGACCTCGCAGAAGCAGATGAGGATGCTGCAGAAGAAGCAGAGCCAGCTGGTGCAGGAGAAGGATCACCTGCAGAGCGAGCACAGCAAGGCCATCCTGGCGCGCAGCAAGCTGGAGAGCCTGTGCCGGGAGCTGCAGCGGCACAACCGCACCCTCAAGGTGCTCCCTGTCATTTGGGAAGTGTTCTTGAGGGATATAAGGACATCATTTTGGGAGGTTTTTCTTATGGATATAAGGAATAGGAGGCTGAATGCATTGGGAACATTTAGGGAAGTTTTTCTGATGGATGTAAGAACATCGTTTTGGGAAGATTTCCTAATGTATGTAAGAACATCATTTTGGGAAGTTTTTCTTATGGAAGCAAGGAATAATGGGAGGCTGAATGGGTTAAGAACATCATTTTGGGAAGTTTTTCTTATGGAAGCAAGGAATAATGGGAGGCTGAATGGGTTAAGAACATCATTTTGGGAAGTTTTCCTCATGGATGTATGAACATCATTTTGGGAAGTTTTCCTAATAGATATAAGAACATCATTTTGGGAGGGTTTTCTTATGGAAGTAAGGAATCATGGGAGGCTGAATTCATTTGGAACATAATTTTGGGAAGTTGACCTGAGGGATAGAAGGAATCATGGGAGGCTGAATGGGTTAGGAACATTTAGGGAAGTTTTTCTGATGGATGGAAGAACATCATTTTGGGAAGTTTTTCTTATGGAAGTAAGGAATCATGGGAGGCTGGATTGGTTGGGAACATAATTTTGGGGAGTTTTTCTTATGGAAATAAGGAAAAATTGGAGGCTGAATTCATTGAGAACATAACTTTGGGAAGTTTTCCTCATGGAAATAAGGAATAACAGGAGGCTGAATGGGTTAGGAACATACAGGGAAGTTTTTCTGATGGATGGAAGAACATCATTTTGGGAAGTTTTTCTTATAGATGTAAAGAATAATGGGAAGCTGGGTGGGTTGGGAACATCATTTTGGGAAGATTTCCTGATAGATATAAGGACATTATTTTGGGATGGATATAAGGAATAATGGGAGGCCAAGTGGGTTAGGAAATTCAGGGAAGTTTTCCTGATGGATGTAAGGACATAATTGTGGGAAGTTTTCCTGATGGCTGTAAGGAATCATGGGAAGCTGAATTAGTTGGGAACATCATTTTGGGAAGATTTCCTGATGGCTATAAGATTTCCTGATGGCTTATAGAAAGGACATAATTTTGGGAGGTTTTTCTTATGGGTATAAGGAGTAATTTTGGGAAGTTTTCCTGATGGAAATAAGGAGTAAAGGGAGTCTGAATGGGTTGGGAACACAATTTTAGGAAGGTTTTGTGGTGGACATAAGGACATCATTTTGGGATGGACATAAGGAATAACGGGAGCCTGGCTAAGTTGGAAACACCATTTTGGGAAGCTCCTCCCTTACCTGTCCCATCCCTGCCGCAGGAGGAGGGCGTGCAGCGTGCCAGGGAGGAGGAGGAGAAGAGGAAGGAGGTGACCTCTCACTTCCAGGTGACCCTGAACGACATCCAGCTGCAGATGGAGCAGCACAACGAGCGCAACTCGAAGCTGCGCCAGGAGAACATGGAGCTGGCCGAGAGGCTCAAGAAGCTCATCGAGCAGTACGAGCTCAGGGAGGAGGTGGGTCAGCTTCTCCCACACCTCTGCTGGCCACAGGGGCTCTGGGATACAGAAAACTTGTTTTTCTTAGCTTGGGCAGTCAGCAGAGTCAGGGTTCTTTTGTGTTTATTGCTTATTATTTCTTATTTTTAACATTATTTCTCTGGCTCGCCCTAGGTCTGTCTGGCCAGGGTTGAGGCACACTGCTTCCCTCACTGCTTGTCTTTATACTAAAAACTACATGTTACTTAAACATGTAGTTTAAATACACTACAATATTTAAAATTACTTCCCAATACCTATTTCCTATGTTAGACAGTGAATTTCTACTCTAAACCAATCCAAAAGTGCCACCATCACATCACAGCAGAAGATGGAGGCCAAGAAGAAGAAGGAGAAAGGCTGCCCAGATTTCTCCATCTTGCCCCCTGAACCCCCATTCTAAAAACACCAAAAAATATATATTTTTTACCCTGTGATAAATTCACTATCATTCTACTTAAACTCTCTTGACTTGTAACTCTTCGTATAAAGGTGGGAATTGTTTTTTCCAAGGGCTCAATCAAAGGCACAGGGGGCTGGGGCTCTGTGCCAAGGTCTCTGAACCCCCTGGGCAGGGGTTGGAGCCCTTTGGGGCAGCCAGAGGAATTTCCTGCGTTCTGACACTTTTGTTCTCATTTTCAAGGTTACTTGTTATTTCTTGTTTATAACATTCTTTTTCTGGCTCGCCCTAGGTCTGTTTGCAGGTCAGGTTGAGGCACACTGGTGTTATCTTTTTATACTAAAAACTGTCTACAATATTTAAAATTACTTCCCAATACCTATCAGCTATGTTAGACAGTGAGCTTCTACTCTAAACCAATCTAAAACTGCCACCATCACAGCAGAAGATGGAGGCCAAGAAGAAGAAGGAGAAAGGCTGGACACTCTTAGATTCTTCTATCTTGCTTTTCTAACTCTCATTCTAAAAACTTCAAAAATCTATTATTCACTCTGTGATTAACTATTATTCTACTTAAATTCTCTTGACTTGTAACTCTTCATATAAAGGTGGGAATTGGTTTTTTCTAAGGGCTAAAATCAAAGGCACAGGTGGTTTTGACTCTGGGGCAGGGGCTGGAGCCATTTGGGGCAGGCAGAGGAATTTCCTGCGTTCTGACACTTTTGTTCTCATTTTCAAGGTTGTTTGTTATTTCTTATTTCTAGCATTATTTCTCTGACTCGCCCTAGACCTGTTTGACAGGGTTGAGGCACACTGGTGTTGTCTTTTTATCTAAAAACTATGTCTACAATATTTAAAATTACTTCCCAATACCTATTACCTGTGTTAGACAGCGAGCTTCTACTCTGAACCAATCTGAAAGTGCCACCATCACAGCAGAAGATGGAGGCCAAAAGAAGAAGGAGAAAGAAAAATCTGCGTCCAGTCTATCTTGCTTCTTGAACTCTCATTCTAAAAACTTCAAAAATCTATTTTTCACTCTGTGATAAACTAACTATTATTCTACTTAAATATTATTCTACTTAATCTCTCTTTACTTGTAATTCTTCACACAAAAGTGGGAATTGTTTTTTCTAAAATCAAAGGGAATTGTTTTTTCTGAGGGCTAAAATCAAAGGCACAGGTGGTTTTGACTCTGGGGCAGGGGCTGGAGCCCTTTGGGGCAGGCAGAGGAGTTTCCTGGTCAGCACTGGGAACCTTTCCTGCTGCTCTGGGTGTGCCCTGAGCTCTGCTGTCCCCCTGCAGCACATTGACAAGGTGTTCAAGCACAAGGAGCTGCAGCAGCAGCTGGTGGATGCCAAACTGCAGCAGGCCCAGGAGATGCTGAAGGAGGCAGAGGAGAGGCACCAGCGGGAGAAGGATTTTGTAAGTGTTGGAGCAGCTGATTGAGGCACTTTGGGGGTGTCAGTGTGGGTCCCTGGGTGTTATCCAGGGGCCAGGCTGGAGCTCTGCTGAGCTCCTTGTGCCTCTCCTGAGCCGGAGAGCATTCCCAGGTAATTGTTTGCTCTCCTTCCCCAGCTGCTGAAGGAAGCTGTGGAATCCCAGAGGATGTGTGAGCTGATGAAGCAGCAGGAGACCCACCTCAAGCAGCAGGTGAGTTCCCTGCTCAGCTTGTTTGGTTTGGGGATTTCCCTCCCTCCCTCCCTGAACAACCCAAAGTTCTTTAATCTGGAAAACAGGAGCAGGATCCCTGCTGGCTTTGGTTTTATGAGCTGAGCCTTTGTTCAGGGGCTGTTTCCCAGTGCTGGGAGCAGTCATGGGATCAGCCAGGAGGAGTTTGTGGAGCTCCCTGCTCTCAGGATGTTTCCCTGGGACAGAATTTGCCTTTGGCAGAGCAGCTCCTGCTGTTTGTCCTTGTGCCAGGGCTGGGCTCTCCCCTCTCCAGCCCTGCTGCCATCAGCTCCCTGTCTCTCCACAGCTGGCTCTGTACACTGAGAAGTTTGAGGAGTTCCAGAACACCCTTTCCAAAAGCAGTGAAGTGTTCACAACGTTCAAACAGGAGATGGAGAAGGTGGGTGATGCTTTTTTCCCCCAGCTCCAAATTTCAGTTCATTTTAAGTCTACACCCAAAATTTGGGGTGACACATGAGGACCTGTGGGATGTCACTGCACTGCTCTCCCTGGGGTTGGTTTATTTTGATTCCTGTGGGGATCAGGACATTTTGTGACTGGATTTGTGATTGTGTAGATGACCAAGAAAATCAAGAAGCTGGAGAAGGAGACCACCATGTACCGCTCCCGCTGGGAGAGCAGCAACAAGGCCCTGCTGGAGATGGCAGAGGAGGTGAGGGGAGGCTGGGGGCAGCTGGGAGGGTGGCTGGGGACAGGACAGGCCCTGCCTGGGTGCTCTGTGAGGGCAAAGGGAGGAGGAGGAAGCTCCTGGGTGCTGAGGGTTTGCTTGGTTTCCCCAGAATCAGTCATGGAATGGTTTGGGCTGGAAGGGACCTTAAAGTTCATCCTATTCCAGCCCCTGCCATGGGCAGGGACACCTTAAATTATCCCAGGTTTCTCCTGGGATAAGTGTCCTGGGATAAGCCCAGCCTTGGACACTTCCAGGGATGGAGCAGCCCCAGCTTCCCTGGGCACCCTGTGCCAGCCAGGGCTTCTTCACCTTCACAGGGAGGAATTCCATGCCAATATCCCACCTAACCCTGCTCTCCCTGCACTTGAAACCTGTTCCTGTTCTCTCCTGTCCCTCTGGGGTTTCAGCTCTCCCTGCAGAAAACCTTGCAGGACAAGGAGCTGGAGCACCCTGTGCCAGAGCCTGCCTGGAATTCCTCACAGGGAGGAATTCCATGCCAATATCCCACCTAACCCTGCTCTCCCTCCACTTCAAACCCATCCCTATCCCTTCCTATCCCTCTGGGGTTCCATCTCTCTCTCTGTGCCTCTCATCCTGTGGGACAAACAGCTGGAGCACCGTGTGCCACCCCACGGGCAGGAATTCCATCCCAATATCCCACCTAACCCTGCCCTCCCTGCATTTCAAACCTGTCCCTGTTCTCTCCTGTCCTCTGCCATGGGCAGAGACGCCTTCAATTATCCCAGGTTTCTCCAAGCCTGGCCTTGGACACTTCCAGGGCTCCACAGCATCTCTGGGCACCCTGTGCCAGAGCTTCTTCACCTTCACAGGGAGGAATTTCACCCCAATATCCCACCTAACCCTGCTGTCCCTGCATTTCAAACCCATCCCTAGCCCCTCCTATCCCTTTGGGGTTTCAGCTCTCCCTCTGTGCCTCTCTCCTGCAGAAAACCCTGCGGGACAAACAAGGAGCTGGAGCACCCTGTGCCAGCCCACAGGGAGGAATTTCATCCCAATATCCCACCTAACCCTGCCCTCCCTGCATTTCAAACCTGTCCCTGTTCTCTGCTGTCCCTCTGGGGTTCCACATCTCCCTCTGTGCCTCTCTCCTGCAGAAAACCCTGCGGGACAAACAAGGAGCTGGAGCACCCTGTGCCACCCTACAGGCAGGAATTCCATGCCAATATCCCACCTAACCCTGCCCTCCCTGCATCCCTGTTCTCTCCTATCCCTTTGAGGTTCCACATGTCCCTCTGTGCCTCTCCCCTGCAGAAAACCCTGCGGGACAAGGAGCTGGAGGGGCTGCAGGTGAAGATCCAGCGCCTGGAGAAGCTGTGCCGCGCGCTGCAGACGGAGCGCAACGACCTCAACAAGAAGGTGCAGGACCTGTGTGCCCACACAGAGCTGCTGGAGCCCCTGAAGGAGCCACCACGGGACAGCTCTGAGGCTGCTGCAGATCCCCTGAGCCCAGGAAAGGCCCCACAGAGCCCGGATCCCACAGGAGGCCTGGCAGAACTGAGCACGGGGACTGAGCAGGGCACTGACTGAGCCCCAGCTGGGTGAGGGAGGGGGACCTGGGAGCTGCTTTAGATTCCACTCTCCCTGTCCTGGGCCAGCTGGGAAAGGACAGGACACAGCCCTCCTGGGGATGGCAGATTTTCCCTAGTTTAGGTTTTTGGAGGGATTTTTTTTAAGATTTTATATATATATATACATATATATATATAAGATATATAAAAATGTGCAGGGCAACACTTTATATCTATGGAAAGAAGCAGAAGGGCCCAGCTCCCTGCCTGTGTGAATATTGAAACTCTGGAGCCTCAGCTGATTGTCCCTCCCACTAAAGGACCTGGGGACAGGCACAGGGACAAGGGACACGCCTCCACCACCACAAGGACTCCACTCTGGAGTGACAGCAGAGCTGGGAGAATTCCAGAACATTCCCAGCACTGGATTCTCCCTCTTCCCCCTGCCAGGCAGGAGGAGCTCCTGGTCTGGCCCTGCTCGTGTGTGAGCTGAGGGCACCAGAGGCCGTTCCCTGCTCTCCATGGGCTCTGTGTCTGCACTGGGGACCAGGAGAAGCAGCAAAAGGAGGTGCCTGGTCCCTCCCTTGGGAATTTTTTGCTCTTGCCAGGCCCTGCCAATCTCAAAACCGCCTTATAATTCACAGTTGCCTCTTTGCTGAACGCACACGTGCACAAAGTGTATTAAACAGTTATCCCAAAGGTCTCATTCCCAAGTGTTGGCATCGTTGTGCACAGGGACTGGGGAGGTGCCCCCCAGCCCTGGAGGCATCCACGGAGCTGGGGCTGCAGGAGGATCAAACCTCAGAGCTGTGTGAGCTCCTGGAGCTGTGTGAGCCCCTGGAGCTGCTGCAGGAGGATCAAACCTCGGAGCTGTGTGAGCTCCTGGAGCTGTGTGAGCCCCTGGAGCTGCTGCAGGAGGATCAAACCTCGGAGCTGTGTGAGCTCCTGGAGCTGTGTGAGCCCCTGGAGCTGCTGCAGGAGGATCCAACCTCAGAGCCCTGTGAGCTCCTGGAGCTGCTGCAGGAGGATCCAACCTCAGAGCCCTGTGAGCTCCTGGAGCTTCTGCTCCATCCATGATCAGCTCCTGGGGCTGCTTCTGCTGTCCCAGCCCCATTTCCCCTTTTCCTCCCTGCTTGAAGAGCATCTCCCCAGTGCTGCCTCACCCCACGGGGCCTGCATGTGCTGGGAGGGAGTTTAGGGACAGCTGTGGCACCTGCTGGCACCGGGTTTTGGGATTTTCCTTGGTTTGTCAGGACTTTGTGTCGTCGCTGATCTTTGGAAGATCAGGCTCGCTTGGAACCTCGCTGCAGCTTCAGTTTGTGACAGACTTCACTCCCAGCATTGCCTTCCTGGTGCTGGGAGCTGATCCCCACCCTGGATGCACCCAGTGGATCCTTTTGGGATTCTCTTCTGACACCACAGCTGCTCTCACATCTCCCCTCCATGAAGGACCTGCCTCCACATCTCCTTTTCCTCCAGATTGAGGAGGGCAGCATGGACAGAGCCCTGCTGGACATGCCCTGGGACAGTCCCTGGAGCTGTGGTGGCTTTGTCTTCCAGCCCTGCTGGTTCCTCTGGGATGATCCATGAATGTAACCCAGCCAGGCTGAGCAGGGCTGCTGCTGACATCTGGACTGCAGAAAAAGCAAAACCCCTTAGAAATTCACCAAACCCCCTTTTTTTTCTGTCTTTTCCCTGTTAAGGTACAGAAACCTCCTGTGTGTATCCTGTATCCAATAGAAACACTCCCAACCTCGCTGCTGCCTCCGGTGTGTCTCTGTTCTTTACCACGGGGTGGAGATTTTGGGCTGTGGGGTGGCTCTGTGGGACACAACAACTCTGTGTCCTGTCAGTGTCACCATTGAATTTCCAGAAGCTGTAACCCTCACAGAGTAACACCAAACCTCTTCAGAAGGGTGCAAACACCTGCCCTGGTGGTTGTTCACCCAAATTTTGGTACCCCTCACGTTCATGCAGGGCACCTGTGTGCCCTCTGTGCCCTTTGGTCAGCACAGCTGGGCACTCTGTGGCTCACCTGCTGCTCACAGCTGGGCTCATTGGGGAGCAGCCCCACTGCTAACCCCACAAACTGTGAACCTAACAGAGCCCCCAAACCCTACAAACTGTGAACCCCAAACCCCACAAACTGTTCCTACACACAGCCCCCAATCCTTACAAACTGTGTTCCTACACGTAGCCCCACTGCTAACCCCACAAACTGTGAACCTAACACAGCCCCAATCCCAATTCCCCCATAACTACACACAGCCCCAAACCTCACAAACTGTATACCCCACTCCAAATCCCCACAAACTGTGTTCCTACACACAGCCCCAATCCTAAACCCTACAAACTGTGTACCTGCACAAAGCCCCAATCCCCACAATCTGTGTACCCCAAACCCCACAAACTCTGTACCTACACACAGCCCACAAACTGTGTACCCCACTCCCAAACCGCACACAATCTGTGTTCCTACACACAGCCCCACTCCCAAACCCCACAAACTGTGTACCCTAAACCCCACAAACTGTGTTCCTGCACACAACCCCTGTTCCAATCCTCACAAACTGTACCTACATACAACCCTATTCCTAAACCCCACAAACTGTGTGCCCCAATCCCAAACCCCACAAACTGTGTACCTGCACACAGCCCCAATCTCAATCCCTACAAACCGTGCTCCTACACACAGCCCAAATCTCTACAAACTGTTCCTACACACAGCCCCAATCCCAAACCCCACAAACCGTGTACCCCAATCCCCACTAGCTCTGTTCCTACACACAGCCCTTGTCCCAAACCCCACAAACTCCTCCTGCCGTGTCCCAGAGCTCTGCTCCTCCTTTCCCCGGCAATGAGCTGAGGAAGGCAGGGAGGGATCGCACAGTTTTCCTGCCGTGTGGATGGGATGTCCCTGCTCAGGTGTCCCCAGTGTCACCTGGCGTGTGCCTCCCCGGGACGCTGCAGCCACCAAGAGCCACCAGCCCCGAGGGTCCCGGCCCTGGGGGCACCAGCCGGGCTGGTCCCTTGTGCCCCCATCGGCTCCAGAATGTCCAGGATGGGTTAAAAATCCTGCCGGGATTTACAGCAGCAGCCGCGCTCGGGCTGGGAGGGGGGGGACGGACGGGATTTGTTAATCCCGGCTCTGCGCCAGGGCTGGAGGCCCTTCCCGGCTCCTTCCAGCAGCGACGGATCCCGCGGTGCGGCGGGGACACCGGAGGGGACTCGGGGTAAAACCTGCGGGGACACCGGAGGGGACTCGGGGTAAAACCCGCGGGGACACCGGAGGGGCGGGAGGGGGCGGCGGGAACGAACCGGGGGCTCGGGGAGCGGATCCCGCCCCGTTCCCGATCTGCGGGATGCTGATCCCGGGGCCGATCCCGGGGCCGATCCCGGGTCACGTCCGCGGATCCTGCGGAGGGGAAGGGAACTCCCGGAGGAAGTTCCCTTTCCCTTTAAATGCAAATCCCGGCTGTGCAGTCGGTGGCCATCGGGCAGGGGGCGTCCGGTGGGCTCGGGGCGTCCATCGGGGTCGGGGTGTCCATCGGGGTGTCCATCGGGGTGTCCATCGGGTCCCGGAGGCCGGAGCGGGCCTGGCTCAGGTCAGTCCCGGCCGTGGCGCTCCGGACGGCGGCCAAAGGGGACAAAGAGGCTCCGAACCGGAGCTGCCCGGTCCTGGCACCGCGCGGGGCTCGGGGGGGCCCGCAGGACAAAGGGGTGACGGTCCCCATGCGGTCCCCGTGCGGTCCCTGTGCTCCGCTCTCCCCGGGGTGTTTTGGGGCCGAAATTCTCTTTTCCATCTCGCCGGGGCCCGGCCGGAGCTGCGGCTGCGGTTCAGGCCCCGGCCGGGCTCCTGCGGGGAGGGAGCGGGGCCCCGGGAACGGGCACCGAGCCCCTGCTCCGCTCCTGCCGCCGCCAGCGAGCCCCGGGGCGCTCGGGGTGCCCGTGGGTGCCACTCCTTAACACGGGGGTCCCGGTGCCCCTGGCTGTGTCCCCTTCAATCCCGAGTGTCCCCAGCCCCTCCGCCGCGCCCCGGGCATCCTCATCCTCTCCCCGTTATCTCCGTGCAGATAAGGAGCCTCCACACGCCGTGTCCGCCGCACGCCCGTTCCCGGTCCTGATCCCGGTCCCGATCCCGGTGCCATCGGCCCCATGGAGGAGCGCAGGAAGAAGCGGAGCCCGCAGAGCTGCCTGGCCCAGCCGCCGCCCGCCGGGGCCCCGCGGCCGCTGCCCCCGAGCAAGAGCGCGTCCTTCGCGCTGCCGCTGCCCGCGCTGCCCTCGCCCCGCCAGCGGCCGCGGCCCCGCCGGTCAGTGCGGCCCGGGGGCACCGGGGCGGTACCGGTGCTGATACCGGTGTCGGTACCGGTGCCGGTGCTGACGCCCCGTTCCCCGGCAGGGCCAGCAAGGAGCGGGCGCGGGCGGGCGCCGGGGGCTCCCGGGGGGCGCCGCTCCAGCACAGCTTCCTCACGGATGTGTCCGACGTGTGCGAGATGGAGCGCGGGCTGCTCAGCCTCCTCAGCGACTTCCACTCGGGAAAGCTGCAGGCGTTCGGTGGGGGATCTGTGGGGTGGGATGGGATCCGTGGAATGGGATGAGATGGGATCCATGGGATGGGATTTGATCCATGGGATGGGATCAATGGGATCCATGGGATGGGATGGGTTGGGATTCATGGAATGAGATCCATGGGATGGGGTGAGATGGTTTGGGATGGCATGGGATGGATGAGATGGGATCCATGGGGTGGGATGGGATGGTTTGGGATAGGATTTGATCCATGGAATGAGATGGGATCCATGAGATGGGATGCAGTGGGATGGGATAAGATGGGATTAGATCCATGGGATGGGATGGAATGGGATCCATGGGATTTGATCCATGGGATGGGATCCATGAGTTGGGATGCGGTGGGATGGGATAAGATGGGATTTCATCCATGGGATGGGATCCATGGGGTGGGATGGGCATGGGAAAGGAGCAGACTGGGGAATTTTGGGGCTGGGGAATTTAGGATCCACAGAGAAGAGGTGGGGTGGGGAAAATGTTGGATCCAAGGGAAGGAATGGGATGGATGGACAGACGGACGGACGGACGGACGGATGGATGGATGGATGGATCAGGGACAGGCTGGGGCTGGGATTGATCCACAGGGAAGGTGCTCTGGGGCTGTGCTGGAGCCTCCCCAGGGATGTTCTGGAAGGTTCTGGTTCCCCAGGGAAGGAGTGCTCCTTCGAGCAGCTGGAGCACGTGCGGGAGATGCAGGAGAAGCTGGCGCGGCTGCACTTCGGGCTGGACGTGTGCGTGGAGGAGCTCCCCGAGGAGCAGAAGAAGGCGGCGGCTGACAGGAACCTGGACCAGCTGCTGGCACACGTGAGTGGCACCTGTGACACCCTGTGACACCCCTGTCACCCTGTCCTCTGCCAGGCCTGGCACAGCCCGGGGTCACCTCTGCTCCCTCAGCTCTGCCTTTGCTCCCACAGCTGGAAGAGCTCAGCAGCTCCATGTATCCTTGGCTGGTGACAGTGACAGTGGCAGTGACAGTGGCAGCGGTGGCAGTGATGGTGGTGATGGGTGGCAATGGTGGCAGTGGTGACGGTCACGACAATGATGGCACTGCCCGTGATGGCACTGACAGGGATGGCACTGGCAGTGATGACAGTGGCAGTGGTGGCAGTGACTGTGGCAGTGGTGGCAGTGGCAGGAGTGGCAGTGATGGTGGTGTGGGTGGCAATGGCAATGGTGGCAGTGACAGTGGTGACATGACCCTGGTGACAGTGACGGTGCTGGCGCTTCCCCTTTACCCGCTCTCAGACAGAAGCTGCACCTGGCCGAGAGCTCGGACCCCGAGGACGCGGGGCCCTGACCCCGGCCCTGTCCCCGTCCCCGTCCCCGCCATCCCCGGGAGCCCCGCGCGGGCCCGGCCCTGTCCCCGCCATGGCGGCGGCGGTCGCGGCCCGATGACGGCAGCAGGCGGCGCCGGGGCCATGGCGGCCGCGCCGGGCCCGCGGGCTGAGGCTGAGACCGAGGAGCGGCGGCGGCTCCTGCGCTCCGTGACCCGGCTACAGGTGCGGGACCGGCCCGGGGGAACGGCGGGGAGCCGGGAAGGGGAAAGGCGGGTGGGGCCTTTGAGGGGGGCACTTCGGGATGAAACCCCTGGGGTGGCACCTCGGGGCGGGCGGGCACCTCCATGAGGGCACCCCCGTGAGGGCATCCCCGGGCGGGCAGCTCCATGAGGGCACCCATGGGCACGGACGATGGGATCGGTTCGGTGCCGATGCCCGGTTGGGTTCGGTTCAGTGCCGGTGCCGGTGCCCGGTTGGGTTCGGTGGCGGTGCCCGGTTGGGTTCGGTGGCGGTGCCCGGTTCGGTTCGGTGCCGGTGCCCGGTTGGGTTCGGTTCGGTACCGGTGCCCGGTTGGGTTCGGTTCGGTGCCGGTGCCCGGTTGGGTTCGGCCCGGTTCAGCGCTGCCCCCTGCCGTGCCAGGCCTGTGCCAGGGGGTTCCTGCTGCGGCGGCGCCTGCGGAGCGTGCGGGCGGAGTTCGAGGCCGCGGTGCTGGAGATCGAGGGCGACCTGAGGCAGCTGCGCTGGAGCGGCCGCGTCCTGCAGCGGCCGCGCTTCGGCCCCGAGGTCCGTGAGCACCGGGGCACCGGGAGCGGTACCGGGAGCGGCACCGGGGCGGGGATTGTGCCCGGTGGCAGCGCTCACCCTGTGCCCCTGCCCGCAGGACGCTCCCGGCGCTGCCCCCGCAGGATTTGGCGCTCCCGGTGCAGCCCGGCCTGCCCAGGTGAGTGAGTGATTCCCCTCCCCGCGCCACTGCCCGGAGCACAGGAGAGGTTGGGATGGCTCAAACCAGAGCAGCAGAGCCATTATGTTTCTTAAAATATATTTTATTTTGTTTATTGTAATATTTTCTTTGATATTTCTTTGATTTTTCAAAGAAAAATCTGTATATATTCTTCTTTATATATTATATATTTCTTCTATTTTAATATTTTCTTCATATGTTGAAATTTATTTATATTTTCTTTCATATATTTTCTTTTGTTTGTTTTAATATTTTCTTTTGTGTCTTCTTTTAATATTTTCTTTCATATTTCTTTACATTTTCTCTTATATATCTTCTTTTATTTTAATACTTTCAGTGGAACATTTTCTAATATTTCTTATATTTTTTCTTTTCTATTTCTTTGATATTCCTTCATGTTTTTTAATATTTCTTTTATATTTTCTTTGATATTTCTTTGATATTCCTTCATTTTTTCTTGTATGTTTTCTTTTCTATTTCTTTTATATTTTCTTTATATTCCTTTATTTTTTCTTTTATATTTCTTTATATTTTCTTCCTATTCATCTTCATCTTTTCTTCCTATTCGTCTTTGTATTTTCTTCCTATTCCCCTCATATTTTTTACACTATCTTGATTTTTTAAAAGTATTTCTCTCATATTTTTTCCCTCTCTCATTGTGTTGGGATTTTTTTTTTTTTTCTCTTTTCCTTTTTTTTTCCAGCACTCTCCAGGAAAACCTTTGGATCCAGGGGAGGCTGCAGAGAACAAAACCAGAAAAAAATGGGAGAAGCTGAATCCTGGTGGAGCAGAGAGGGGTGGGAACATCCCCCCCTCAGCCCCACACCCCAAAACCACCAAAAACCCCAAAAATCCCCCAGATTTGGGGTGTGGTGCTGCTGAAAGCCCCGAGGAGGAAGAGGAGGGAGCCCTGGAGTGGGACAGTGACAGCAGCGAGCTGGGAGCCAGCACAGGTGAGGGACACCAAATATTTTGGGAACATTTTGGGAATGCTGCAGCAGCTCCCACAGGGCTGAGCTTTGGGGCCAGCACAGCTCAGGGATATTTGGGGATGTTGGAGAAGCCCCCACAGGGCTGAATTTGGGGTTTTTTTCCCCCATTTTTTGCAGGAATCCCAGAGGAACTGCAGGGGCTGCCCCTACATGACTGAATTTTGGGGTTTTTTCCCCCAGTTTTTGCAGGAATCCCGGAGGAGCTGCAGGATCAGCCCCTACATGACTGAATTTTGGTTTTTTCCCCATTTTTTGCAGGAATCCCAGAGGAGCTGCAGGGGCTGAGTTTTGGGTTTTTTTCCCCATTTTTTTGCAGGAATCCCAGAGGAGCTGCAGGGGCTGAGTTTTGGGGGTTTTTCCCCATTTTTTTGCAGGAATCCCAGAGGAGCTGCAGGGGCTGAGTTTTGGGTTTTTTTCCCCATTTTTTTGCAGGAATCCCAGAGGAGCTGCAGCATCAGCTCCCACAGAGCTGAATTTTGTTTTTTTTTTTCCCATTTTTTTGCAGGAGTCCCACAGGAGCTGCAGGGCTGCCCCTTCATGACTGAATTTTGGTTTTTCTCCCATTTTTTTGCAGAAATCCCAGAGGAGCTGCAGGATCAGCCCCTACATGACTGAATTTTGGTTTTTTTCCCCCATTTTTTTGCAGGAATCCCAGAGGAGCTGCAGGGGCTGCCCCGCTGGGAGCTGCAGGCCCTCAGGACTCGGCTGCTGCTGGAGCTGCTGTGGGTCCAACAGGCCATTGCCAGCAGGAAACAGGTGAGGAATGGGATGGGGACTGGGGGGAATGGAAAAGGAAATATGGAGGAAAAATCAAGGAAAATAGAAAGGAAATATCAAAGAAAATGAAAATATAAAATAGAAAGAAAATATAAAGAAATATCAAAGATAATAGAAAAGGAAGTAGAAAAGAAAATACAAAATAAAATAGAAAATCGAAAGAAATACCAAAGACCATAGGAAAGGAAATAGAAAATATAAAGAGATCTAAAAGAAAATATAAACAAACACATGGAAAACACAAAGCAATGTACATCGGGCTGTGTCTCCCCGCAGTTCCTGCTGCTGAGGCAGAAGTTGGGAGTTGCTGCCCCTCCCTGCAGCGTCCCCGAGTTCCTGGCCTGCTGTGGAGAGGCCCTGGGGCTGCAGCAGCAGCAGCTCTGATGGCACAGGGACAGCTGGGGGTCCTCACCCCGGGAAAATGGAACAAAATCCTGCTGGGGGTGTTTGGTGTGAGCGGGACTGAGCAGCAGCAGCCATGGGAGGCTCCTGGGGGGATCCTTCCCTTCCCTTCCCTTCCCTTCCCTTCCCTTCCCTTCCCTTCCCTTCCCTTCCCTTCCCTTCCCTTCCCTTCCCTTCCCATCCCTTCCCTTCCCACCCCATCCCATCCCATCCCATCCCATCCCATCCCATCCATCCTATGGATCCCATCCCACCCCATCCCATCCCATCCCACCCCATCCCATCCATCCATCCTATGGATCCCATCCCACCCCATCCCATCCCATCCCACCCCATCCCATCCATCCATCCTATGGATCCCATCCCACCCCATCCCATCCCATCCCACCCCATCCCATCCATCCATCCTATGGATCCCATCCCACCCCATCCCATCCCACCCCTTCCCATCCCATGGATCCCATCCCATCCCAGGGGATCCTGCTGGGGCTGAGCTGGATGATCCAGGTGGAACAGCAGGGTTGGCACTCCCAGCAGGTGTTTTGGGTGGAGCTGGAGCTGCAGGAAGGAGCTCTGCCCACAGAACTGGGGGGATTCCATGTGGGAATTGGGGTTTGGGGGGGCTCTGCACTGTCCTGGGTGTCCCAGGGGGTTTTTGGGAGTGCAGAGTGGGGAGGGAGGGCAATCCCCTGATCCTTGGGGTGAGGCTCATTCTGCATCTGGGAATTCTCTCCTGGACAAAGGAGCTGGTGCTTTGGCAATTCCTTCAGCTCAGGGACATCCCAGTCCCTCAGAAAGGGACATCCAGGGACATCCCAGTCCCTCAGAAAGGGACATCCCAGGGGACATCCCAGTCCCTCAGAAAGGGACATCCAGGGACATCCCAGTCCCTCAGAAAGGGACATCCCAGGGGACATCCCAGATCCCTCAGAAAGGGACATCCCAGGGGACATCCCAGGTCCCTCACAAAGGGACATCCCAGATCCCTCAGAAAGGGACATCCCAAGTCCCTCAGAAAAGGACAAAGGGACATCCCAGGTCCCTCACAAGGGGACAGCCAGGGACATCCCAGGTCCCTCAGGCGCTTTCCCCTTGGTGCTTTTCTCCCCTGTCCCGACCCCACTGCAGATGTGGATCCTTCTGCTCTGGAATTCTGGAATTCTTTTTTATTTTTTGAGAATAAAAAAAATCTTTTCCTGATGCTGAAGCTGTTCCTGCCTGGCTCGCTGGTTGCTCCTGGTGTGTCCATGGCTGAGGGAGGGGTGGCCAGGACAGGACAGGAGCTTTGGGACTTCCCAAACTGTGACAGGGAGGTGACAGCACCTGGACAGGGTGGGACACGAGTGCTGATCCAGAAATCCTGGTGGGAACCTGGATCAGATCCTGGGGGATAAATCCTGCAGGATCAGAGAGCCCTGAGGATGCACAGGAGGGTTTGGGGTGCTCAGGAGGCGCTCAGGAGGTTTAGGGTTGTCAGAAGGGTTTGGGGTGGCTGGAAGGGTTTGGTTTGGGATTGTCAGAAGGGTTTGGGCTCAGTGAGAGGCTGCTTGGAAGGGTTTAGGGTGGCTGGAAGGATTTGGGCTCAGTGAGGGGCTGGTTGGAAGGGTTTAGAGGTGGTCAAAGGTTTTGGGGTGGTCAGGAGGTTTGGGGTTGTCAGAAGGGTTTGGGATTCTCAGAAGGGTTTGGGATTGATTGTCAGAAGGGTTTGGGGTGGCTGGAAGAATTTGGTTTGGGCTTGGCAGAAGGGTTTGGGCTCAGTGAGGAGCTGGTTGAAGGGTTTAGGGGTGCTCAGGAGGCTGTTCAGGAGGATTTAGGATGGCCAGAAGGGTTTGGGATTTTCAGAAGGGTTTAGGGTAACTGCAAGAATTTGGTTTGGGCTTGGCAAAAGGGTTTGGGTTTAGTGAGAGGCTGCTTGGAAGGGTTTAGGGTGGCTGGAAGGGTTTGGGATCAGTGAGGTTGAAGGGTTTGGGGTGCTCAGGAGGCTTTAGGGTGCTCAGGAGGGTTTGGGGTGGGCAGAAGGGTTTAGGATAACTGGAAGAATTTGGTTTGGGCTTGACAGAAAGGTTTGGGCTCAGTGAGGGGCTGCCTGGAAGGATTTAGGGTGGCTGGAAGGATTTGGGCTCAGTGAGGGTCTGGTTGAAGGGTTTGGGATTGCCAGAAGGGTTTAGGGGTGCTCAGGAGGGTTTAGGGTTGTCAGAAGAGTTTGAGATTGTCAGAAGGATTTGGGGTGGTTGGAAGGGTTTGGTTTGGGCTTGGCAGAAGTGTTTGGGCTCAGTGAGGGGCTGGTTGAAGGGTTTAGAGGTGGTCAAAAGGTTTTGGGGTGCTCAGGAGGGTTTGGGGTGGTCAGGAGGGTTTGGGGTGGTCAGAAGGGTTTGGGCTCAGTGAGGGGCTGGTTGAAGGGTTTAGGGGTGCTCAGAAGGGTTTAGGGGTGCTCAGAAGGGTTTAGGGGTTGCTCAGAAGTGTTTGGACTAATCAAAAACTCCATCAATGCCAGGAGGTCACACTGGATAATTTATTAACCCTTTCTTACCCCCCTTCAGTGCTGTCCAAGCCAGTTTGGTCACTGTGGCCTCCAAAGAGGCACCAAAATCCCCTTAAGGCACAAAGTGGGGAGTGCAATCCATGGGATTTCTTTGGGATCCATCCCAAAACACCTTCCCAGGTGGGGCTGGGCCAGGGAGGAGCCCTGGGTCACCCTCTGCTGTTCTGCTGCTGCCTCAGGCCCCAGCCAGGCACAGGGACACCCCCAGCACGGTGAGCAGCATTCCTGCCACAGCTCCTGGGGAGGAACAAATAAATCCAGGATCAGCAAATGGGGACAAACTCAGAATCTGCCCCAAACAACGACCTCCAGCTCCTGCAGTTTGAAATTCCCCAATTTCCTGCTTTTTCCTGAGCACCTCAGCAGGGCACGTTGACTTTTGGGCCACTCCTTTTCCATGGTGGGCATTTTACTGAGGGAAATTTAAATCCTTTTAGCTTTAAACAGACAATTCTGGCTTTAAATTCACCAGCCCTGTCCAAAAATCTGTTTCAATTCCCTTTCCCTTTTCAATGGGGGAAAAAAAATCCCATTGAAATGGGAATTTTCCATTCCAATTTCAATTCCCTGCAGCCAAAGCTGCTCTGACCCAGTTCAAGCCTTGTGGGGTGTTTGGTGTCTTCAGATTAGATTATAAATTAAATTATACATTAAAATCAAATCTCCCACCTGAAAAATCAAATCCCCCACATTATAAATTAAATCCCCCATATTATAAATTAAATCATACATTAAAAATGAAATCCCTCACATTAAAAATCAAATCCCCCACATTAAAAATCAAATTCCCACATTACAAATCCAGTAATCTCAACGCAATAAAAGCTGATTTCTTGAGGAAATGCTGGAAGTGGGACTCACTTTTGCCCCCAATGTCCTCTCCCAGGATTTTCCCAGTCACCAAGGTCACAACCAAAGCCAGGGAGTTGCAGAGTGGCACTGCCAGGGACAGGTCTGAAATGCGAGATCCAAGTGCAGAAATTTGATTTATTTGGGATTATTCCAAGGGATCTTCTTGCTGTTTGGCTGAGCCACAAAATCCCATCAAAGCACCCCAAAAAAGCAGCAGGATCTGACCTGTGGAGGCCAAGGTGAGGTAGAAGAGCAGAGATCCAGCCTGGTTGAGCAGGAAGGGCACCAGGTACTGCAGGAGAACACAGAGTGCCTGAGGCTCCAAACTGCTTTCAATTTCAACGCTGGGCTCAATCCTGGAGGTTTTTCCCATCCTCAGGGCTCTGGTTTTGGTGTCTCTGGTTTCCCTCCCTGCAGGTGGTGCTGGAGGAGGGCAGGAGCCCATGGATGTGACCAAACCTCCACCAGGACTGGCAAATTCCAGGCCAGGTTGGTTCTTTTCCCTCTGGCAGGGAAAATGCTCACCCAGAGCAGCCCAGGGATTGATCTTCCCTTTCCTTTGGGAATTGGCAGTGCTGGAGAAACCCTGGAGCTCTTTTTTAGTTTTTTCCTTTGTTTTTGAGGGTTCTGTGGTGCAGGACACCTGGGAGAGGTGGGAATTCTGCAGGAATAACCCCCTGAGCATGGGGAATTGTGGATATTGGGGTTTCAGCAAGGATACCAAATTTTCAGCAAAGTTTTCTTTATCTCTTGGTGTCCTGGTCCTTGTTACTGTTATTTTATGATTCAGATAAGACAGTCCACAAATACATTGAATTAACAGAGCTATTTTACATTATTATCTGAGTTAATTCCACAAATAAAATATTTAACAGCACACAGTTTGTACTTTAATAGTATGAGAAGCTCTAAGCTATATTTATCACATTATTATTGATATAAACTACACGGTGCATACAAAAACTGATTATATTGTATTATATTATATTATATTATATTATATTACATTAACATTAATTATATAATAATATAAAATATATATTAATTAATTAATATTATTTAATATTAATAAGCTATATCTAATATAATATATAATATATATATTATATATAATACATATAATATATATTATATTACATTATTATTATATTATAGTATAGTATAGTATAATATAGTATATATATACTATAATATACTATAGTATAGTGTATTATAGTATATTATATATTATATTATAGTATATTATAGTATATTATATTATAGTATATTATATTTATTACATGTTATATTATATTTATTATATTTATTATACCAAAAAGCAGTTCAAAGGGATTACAAGCTGCACTATATCAGGATCCTTGTGATTACCAATAACTTGCAGAAGGCAACACACCAATGACGAAGAAGCCATTAATGATATTTATAATTTATAATTAATGCCAGGCGGGCTCTCACCTGCCAGTTGAGGCTGAGGAATCGCAGCTCCGCCAGCAGCTGCCGCAGGCGGCCCCGGCCCCGCTGTTCCTCCATGCCCGCGGCTGCGGCCCTCAGGAACGGGCCGGTCCCGCCCCAGAGCGCGGCCACCAGCGCCAGGGCCAGCGCCTGCCCTGCGGGGAGCGGCGGGGTCAGAGCCGGGAGCCAGCCCGGCCCCGGGAACAGCGGGCTCACAGCCGTGGAGCCAGCCTGGCCCCGGGAACACCGGGATCAGAGCCGTGGAGCCAGCCCGGCCTCAGCCCCTGGAACATCGGGGTCAGCCGTGGAGCCAGCCCGCCTCCGGGAACACCGGGATCAGAGCCACGGAGCCAGCCCGGCCTCAGCCCCTGGAACAGCGGGATCAGAGCCACGGAGCCAGCCCGGCCCCGGGAACAGCGGGGTCAGAGCCGTGGAGCCAGCCCGGCCTCAGCCCCGGGAACAGCGGGATCAGAGCCGGGAGCCAGCCCGACCCTCCCTCCTCGCACCCCCTCAGCCCTCCCAGCCACGTTTCCCGTTCCCATGCAAACCCTCCCCGCGCCGCCATCACTCCCTCCTCACCCGCGGTCGCCATGGCAACGCCGTTATACTTCCTGGTTTCCAGGAAGTCCCTCAGTTGCCATGGAGACCGTGACGTATTTCCGGCGCGCCGCCGCCATCCCGGAAGCGCCGCCCCGTGAGGCCTTAGCGTGGCCGCCATGGTGAGAGCGGGATGGCCGCGGGCTCGGGGGCCGCGAGTTTCGGTGCCGCCGATGATTTACCGGCTCTGCACCCCCGGTCCGTGGCTCCTGGGCGCGGGGGGGCGGCTTGGCCGACCCCCCGCGTCCCAGGAGCCTCGGACCGGGGGCCGCGCTCGCCCCCCCCCCATCCTCACCCTCATTAATTATTTAATCATTAATTACAGAAGCCCATCCTGCTGCAAGGCCATGAGCGCTCCATCACTCAGATCAAATACAACCGCGAGGGAGACCTGCTCTTCACCGTGGCCAAGGATCCCGTGAGTGCTCCCCACCGCTGCTAATTAACCGTTCATTAATTAATCCTTAATTTTAATTAATTTCCCCCCCCCCCTTCCTCGCAGATTGTCAATGTTTGGTATTCGGTGAACGGCGAGAGGTTGGGGACCTACAATGGGCACACGGGAGCTGTGTGGTGTGTGGATGCTGACTGTATCCTTTGATCCCAAAACCGGTTTTATTCCATATTTTTGTGGCTGAATCATCCCCGGTGCTTCCTCCCGGCTGCTCCTCATCTTCCTCTCCAAGAGCAGCATTTAAATTCTTCTGCTGCCTCTTCTTTTCCTTTTTTTTTTTGGGTGTTTTCCCATTTAGGATAAGATCCCAATGGATATCTGGGTTTGTTATGCCTTTTCCTGGATATTTAGGAAGGTTTTCCACAGGCAGCAGAGATAAAAGTATGTAAAATTTATTTAAATGCAAGAAATTGAACTTTTTCTTTTAAATTTCATGGGGAAATTATGAGATTTTGCCATGGGAACACTTGGACTCCGTGTTGCCTTCCCTGGGGCAGATTTTGCCCTGAAAAAAAAATCAATTTTTGGGTTCAGAAATGTTCTGTGAGTGCCCTGGCAGGGGAATTTGGGGCTGATTTTTCCTTAATGGTGGCCCAGGGGATACCAGGCACGTCCTGACCGGCTCTGCAGACAACAGCTGCCGCCTGTGGGACTGTGAGACAGGTGAGAGCACCCCAAATTCCCTTTGGGGACACAGCTGGGACAGTCCTGGGACAGTTCTGGGACTGGGGGACAATGCTGGGACACAACTGGGACATCCCTGGGACTGGGGGACACTGCTGGGACTCTTCCCCTCCCCTGTTAAAATCTGAGGCTGCCCCAAGCAAGGCTGGAAGTGACACCTCAGCACAGGGATGTAGAACTGAATCCATTCCTAAATTGCCTTCCAGAGCATTCCAGGGTTTTATTCCAGGCTGTTTTTAATGAGGGAATCAATTCCCAGCTCCCTGAAAATTCCTTCTCCCTTTTAAAATTTGAGGCTCCTCTGAGCGAGGTTGGAAGTGACACCTCAGCACAGGGTGTGGAACTGAATCCATTCCGAAATTCACATCCAAATCATTCCAGGATTTTATTCCATGATCTCCCAGGCTGTTTTTAATGAGGAAAACATTTCCCAATTCCCTGAAAATGCCTCTTTCCCTCCCCTGTTAAAACCTGAGGCTCCCCTGAGTGAGCCTGGAATTGTCACAGAGCAGGGACCTGGAACTGAATCCATTCCTAAATTCACTTCTAAATCATTCCAGGATTTTATTCTGTGCTCTCCCAGTTTGTTTTTAATGAGGGAATCATTTCCCAGCTCCCTGAAAATTCCTTTTCCCCATCTCTGTTAAAATCTAAGGTTCTCCTGAGTGAGGCTGGAACTGACACAGCACAGAGACCTGGAACTGAATCCACTTCTAAAATCCCACCCAGATCATTCCAGGTTCCATTGCAGATTCCATTCCATGCTCTCCCAAGGTGTTTTTAATGAGGGAATCCCTTCCCAGCTCTCTGAAAACTCCTCCTTCTATTTTAAGATCTGAGGCTCCCCTGAGCAAGTCTGGAATTGATACAGAGCAGGGACCTGGAACTGAATCCATTCCTAAATTCCCCCCCAGAGCATTCCAGGTTCCATTCCAGGGTTCCATTCTATTCCAGCACCTTCTCTAATGAGCATGGGTGTTTTGAAGGATGGAATCACTTCCCAGCTCCCTGAAAACTCATTTTCCCCATCTCTGTTAAAATCTAAGGCTCTCCTGAGTGAGGCTGGAATTGACACAGAGCAGGGATCTGTGACTGAATCCATTCCTAAATTCCCACCCAGAACATTTCAGGGTTCCATTCCATGATATTTTTAATGAGGAAAACATTTCCCAGCTCCCTGAAAATCCCTCTTTCCCTGTTTAAATCTGAGGCTGCCCTGAGCAAGTCTGGAATTGTCACAGCACAGAGACCTGGAACTGAATCCATTCCTAAATTCCCACCCAGAGCATTCCAGCTTTCATTCCAGGGTTCCATTCTATTCCAGCACCTTCTCCCAGTGAGAATGAGTGTTTTTAATGAGGGAATCACTTCCCAACTCCATGAGAATCCCTTTTCTCCTCCCCTGTTAAAATCTGAGGCTGCCCCAAGCAAGTCGGGAATTGTCACAGCGCAGGGACCTGGAACTGAATCCATTCCCAAATTCCCACCCAGATCATTCCAGCTTCCATTCCATGCTCTCCCAGGCTGTTTTTAATGATGAAATCCCTTCCCAGCTCCCTGTAAACCCCTTTTTCCCCTGCTCTGCCCCCCAGGGAAGCAGCTGGCCCTGGTGAAGACCAGCTCAGCCGTGAGGACGTGCGGCTTTGACTTTGGAGGCAACATCATCATGTTCTCCACGGACAAGCAGATGGGCTACCAGTGCTTTGTGAGCTTCTTCGACCTCAGGGACCCCAGCCAGATCGGTGAGGGGCCAGGGGAGCCCCCTCTGGGGTCCCACTGGACTTTTGGGGTTAAATCTCTTGAGAAAGGATTCCTTTCCCTAGCCCGAGTTGCTCTAACCTGGAACATTTCCAGGGGTGGAGCAAAGGAGATACTGCCCTAAAAATATCTTTTGGTTGGGTGGAAGTGGTTGTGAGGTGATCACATCAGCAAGGACATAATTCCTTCTCCTCCTTCCTTATGGGATTCTAAAATGCTGCCCCTGGAAATCTGAGCTCCAGAAATAAAAATCACCAAGGGATCCTGGAAAATCCCAAATCCAGCTCAGCAGGGATTCCTTTCCCTATCCCAAGTTGCTCTAACGTGACCTGGAGTATTTTCAGGAGTGGAGCAGAGAAACTTCCCTAAGAAATCTCTTTGCTGGGTGATTTGGAATGGTTGTGGGGTGGTCACATCAGCAAGGACACAATTCCTTCATCCCTTTCCTTATGGGATTCCAAAATACTGCCCCTGAGCCCCCTGGAAATCTGAGCTCTGTAAATAAAAACCACCAAGGAATCCACCTTGAAATGCTGGAAAAGCATTTTATTCTGACCTCCCTTTTCTATGGGATTCCAAATCTATGGGATTCCAAAATGCTGCCCTGGGAGTCTGAGCTCCATAAATAAAAATCCACCCTTGAAATCCTGGAAAATCCCAAATCCAAGCTGAGCAGGGATTCCTTCCCCAGCCCAAGTTGCTCTAACCTGGAACATTTCCAGGGATGGAGCAGAGGGGATGATTCCCTAAAAAATCTCTTTTCTGGATGATTTGGAGTGGTTGTGGGGTGATCACATCAACAAGGACACAATTCCTTCATCCCTTCCTTATGGGATTCCAAAATGCTGCCCCTGAACTCCCTGGAAATCTGAGCTCCAGAAATAAAAATCACCAAGGAATCCACCTTGAAATGCTGGAAAAGCCCAAATCCAAGCCGAGCATGGGACATAAAAGGATAAATCTTAATTTTATAGGGGATTATAAAGCTCCCTTTTACCTCAGGAGCATCGGGAACAGGGAAATGAAATTTGTGGGAATGCTGCAGCAGGGAGTTCATCCTGAATTCCTGCACTTGAAAATTGAATTTCCCTAAAAAAATCTCTTTGCTGAGAGTGCTTGGAGGTGATTTTTTTCCCTAAAAAAATATCTTTGCTGGGAGGGGGGTGATCACATCAACAAGGACACAATTCCTTCCCTCTTCGTTATGGCATTCCAAAATGCTGCCATGGAAATCTGAGCTCCATAAATAAAAATTCACCTTGAAATGCTGGAAAATCCCAAATGCAGGCTGGGCAGGGGGCACAGAGGGCTCAGTGGTGGCTCTGGGTGCTGATTTCTCCTTTCCCCAGAGAACAACGAGCCCTACATGAAGATTCCCTGCAGTGACTCCAAGATCACCAGCGCCGTGTGGGGCCCCCTTGGGGAGTTCATCATTGCTGGCCATGAGAACGGGGAGCTCAACCAGTTCAGTGCCAAGGTAGGGCCTGGGGCAGCCTGGGCAGCGTTCCTGGGGGCATCAGGGCTGGGATGTGGGATTGGGGGCTCCAAACAGCAGCTCCAGCAAGGATCGTTGGAATAACGGGGTGCGCTGAGTGATGCTGGAGTTGGCACAGAGCGGGGTGTGGAACTGAATCTGTTCCTGAATTCCCACCCAGAGAATTTCAGGTTCCATTCCAGGGTTCCATTCTATTCCAGCACCTTCTCCCAGTGAGGATGGGTGTTTTTAATGAGGGAATCACTTCCCAGAACTTTAAAAATTCCTCTTCCATTTTAAAATCTGAGGCTCCTCTGAGCGAGGCTGGAAGTGACGCCTCAGCACAGGGTGTAGAGCTGGATCCATTCCTAAGTTCCCTCCCCACTCAAACCATTCCAGGATTTTATTCCATGATCTCCCAAGATGTTTTTAATGAGGGAATCACTTCCAAGCTCCCTGAAAATTCCTCTTCCCCTCCTCTTGTTAAAATTTGAGGTTCCCCTGAGCGAGGCTGGAATTGACCCAGAGCAGAGATGTGGAACTGAATCCATTCCTAAATTCCCTTCCAGCCCAGAGCATTCCAGGTTCCATTCCATGTTATTTTTAATTAGGGAATCATTTCCCAGCTCCCTAAAAATTCCTCTTCCCCTCCCCTGTTAAAATCTGAGGCTTCCCCAAGCAAGGCTGGAAGTGATACCTCCAGGATATCAGGGTGTGGAACTGAATGCATTCCTAAATTCCCACCCAAAGCATTCCAGGATTTTATTCCATGTTATTTTTAATGAGGGAATCATTTCCCAGCTCCCTGAAATTTCCTCTTCCCCTCTCTGTTAAAATCTGAGGCTGCCCTGAGCGAGGCTGGAAGTGACACCTCAGCACAGGGACATGGAAATGAATCCATTCCTAAATTCCCTCCCAGTGCATTCCAGGTTCCATTCCATGTTCTCCCAAGATGTTTTTAATGGGGGAATCACTTCCCAGCTCACTGAAAATTCCTCTTCCCCTCCCCTGTTAAAATCTGAGGCTCCCCTGAGTGAGGCTGGAATTGATACAGAGCAGGGATGTGGAACTGAATCCATTCATAATTTCCCTCCCAGCCCAAAGCATTCCAGGATTTTATTCCATGTTTTCCCAAGTTATTTTTAATGAGGAAAACATTTCCCAGCTCCCTGAAAATTCCTCTTCCCCTCCCCTGTTTAAATCTGAGATTCCCCTGAGCAGGGCTGGGATTAAACAGCGCAGAGATGTGGAACAGAATCCACCCCTAAATTCCCACCCTGAGCATTCCAGGTTCTATTCCAGGCTGTTTTTAATGAGAGAATCACTTCCATAATTCCATTCCATGTTATTTGTAATGAGGAAATCCCTTCCCAGCTCCCTGAGAACTCTTTTTTCCCTCCCCTGTTAAAATTTGAGGCTCCCCCAAGCAAGGCTGGAAGTGACACCTCAGCACAGGCTGTGGAACTGAATCCATTCCTAAATTCACTTCCCACCCAAATCATTCCAGGATTTTATTCCATGTTTTCCCAAGTTATTTTTAATGAGGAAAGCATTTCCCAGCTCCCTGAAAATCTCTCTTCCCCTCTCTTGTTAAAATCTGAGGCTCCTCTGAGCGAGGCTGGAATTGACACAGAGCAGGGACATGGAACGGAATCCACTCCTAAATTCCCACCCTGATCATTCCAGGTTCCATTCCAGGCTGTTTTTAATGAGGGAATCACTTCCAGGGTTCCATTCCATGTTATTTTTAATGAGGAATCCCTTCCCACTCCCTGAAAACTCTTTTTCCCTCCAGTCAGGGGAGCAGCTCTCCAATATCAAGGAGCACACCAAGCAAATCAACGACATCCAGACCTCCAGGGACATGACCATGTTCATCACTGCTTCCAAGGATAACACAGCCAAGGTGAGCTCTTCCTGCACTTTTCCTGCCAGGATCTCTCCTCACAGGGATTTTATTCCCTTGGGAATGTTCAGTGAGAAAGGAAATGATCAGCCAAGCATCGGAAATGAAATATTTTGGTATTTCCATAGAACATTTGCAGTTTAGATTCTGGAAGGTGGAAGATTTCCGTTTCTGGGGGAATATTTTTGGGATTTGAGCTTGCAGAGGGAAAATCCATGCAGGTGAGGCCCAGCAGCTGGAGATAATGAATTAATTTATCATTTTTCCCTCATAGCTCTTTGACTGCACATCCCTGGAGCACCTGAAGACGTTCAGGACGGAGCGGCCGGTGAACTCTGCTGCCCTGTCCCCCATCTTTGACCACGTAAGGATGAGCTCCCTGAGGCTCTCACTGATCCTGGCACTCCTGCAGTGTGGCTGTTCCCAGTCCAGCCCAGAACCAGGGCTCTGGAATGAACCTGGGGAATTTTTGCTGGGTCAGGCCCTGGGAGCAAAGTTTGGTGTGCTCTGAATGTGTCAGGGAGGTGGGAGTTCCTCAGGGGGTTGGAGGCTGATGGTGGATTTGTGGGATTTGTGGGATTATTGGGAAGTGCTGGAGGCAGTCACCACTTCTGGAGGTGTCCAGGGAACCTCTGGACCTGGCACTCACTGGTCTAAACTGGTTTTAAGGTGGGGATCAATGTTGGAGGTTTTTTCCACCCCCAAATCCCAGAGGGAGGCACTGAAGGGCTCTGTTTGTGATTTCTCTGGTTTCTGTCCCCTGCAGGTGGTGCTGGGAGGAGGGCAGGAGGCCATGGATGTGACCACAACCTCCACCAGGATTGGCAAATTCGAGGCCAGGTTGGTCCTGTTTTGTTGTTTTTGAGGATTCTGTGGTTTTGTCCCTCTTGGGTTTGTGACAATCTCAATCTTCCTCCTCCCAGGTTCTTCCACTTGGCTTTTGAGGAGGAGTTTGGCAGAGTCAAGGGGCACTTTGGGCCCATCAACAGCGTGGCCTTCCACCCTGATGGCAAGAGGTGAGAGCCTTGCAGTGTCCCCAGTGCACCCAGTTCCACTTTTGAACTGGGATTTGACCAAACTCAGGGTGGGAGTGGAATCAGCCCCTGAATTCTCCCATTCCCAGCCCAGGGAGTCACCCACACCCTGCCCCACATTTGGGCCACATCCCTGATATTTTTTCCCACTTTATGATTGCTGTATCAGTTTCAGGAGTGGGTGGGGAGGCCAGACTTCCTATTTTTGCTGCCAGCAGCATTCCTGAGTTTGTCATTCCTGAGTTTCCCATTCCTGACTCTGCCATTCGTGACTTTGCCATCCCTGACTCTGCCTTTCCTCCCTGCAGCTACAGCTCAGTGTCCCCAGTGCACCCAGTCCCACTTTTAAACTGGGATATGACCAAACTCAGGGTGGGAATGGAACCAGCCCCTGAATTCTCCCATTCTGAGCCAGCCCAGGCAGTCACTCACACCCTACCCCACATTTGGGCCACATCACTGATTTTTTTTTCCACTTTGTGATTCCTGTATCAGTTTCAGGAGTGGATGGGGAGCCCAAACTTCCTATTTTTGCTGCCAGCAGCATTCCTGAGTTTCTCATTCCTGATTTTCCCTTTCCTCCTGCAGTTACAGCAGTGGGGGTGAGGATGGCTACGTCCGCATCCACTACTTCGACCCCCAGTACTTCGAGTTTGAGTTTGAAGCCTGAAGGAGGAATTTCCTTCTCTTCTCCTCTTCTTTTCCCTTCTCCAAGCCCTTGCCCAGGGCTCCAGGAAGGGCCTGAAGTTGTTTTTGGCAGCGTTTTTGGGGGTTTGGGAGGTTGGGGAAGTGGGAACTCTCCAGTGGTTTTTACTGGGACAAGAGTGAGGGGAACTGGGGTTGGCTGCCTGCCCTGCTGGGCATATTTATAAACCAGGGGGAGGGGAAAAAAAGAGGAAATAAATAGAAATCTTTTCTAAACACAAGGAAAAGCACCTCTGTGGGGTTTTTTTTTTTAGGTTGATTTTTCCCTATCTGGATCAAAATTAACCCAAGGACTTTGTTTTGCCAGCTCTGTTGTCATTTGTTCCACACCCCTGGAGCAGTGCTGCTCCTCCTGGGACTGTGCCCATCCATGAACTCCTTCCCAGGGAGGCTCCACAGCCTCAGCCCTGCCCTCAAGTGTGAAAAAGCTGCAAATTCAGCAGCCAGGAATTGTTTTGCACACGCCTGGCCCCGCTGCTCTGTCTGCTGGGCTGACCCTGAGCCAGCTCCTCTCATGGAACAGATATTGCAGATATTTCCTTTTCCTGCCCTGGGAGCTCCTGTGCAGATCCTCACCCTCACACCCTCCTGGCTCTTTTATTTTTTTCCTTTTTCCTTCCTCAAAACTGTGCTCAAGGGCAGAATTCCCAGGCTGGCTCTGGGCCCAGAGCTGCTGGCACGACAGAGGGGATTTTGGGGGAGGATGATTTTTGTGTGTCCTGATTGGGGTTTTTTTTGTGATCTTTTGGGGTTTTTTTGTGTGATTGTTGGGTTTTTCTCTATGATCTTTTGGGGTTTTTTGGTGTGATCTTTTGGGGTTTTTTTGATGTGATCTGCTGGGGGGTTTTTGGTGTGATCTGTTGGGGGTTTTTTGGTGGGATCTGCTGGGGTTTTTGATGTGATTGTTGGATTTTTTTTTTTGTGTGATCTGCTGGGGTTTTTCTGTGTGATTTTTCGTGGTTTTTTCATGTCATCTCTTGGGGGTTTTTTTGTGTGATCTGCTGGGGTTTTTCTTTATGATCTGTTGGGTTTTCAGTGTGATCTGCTGCCCTTCATCTCCAGAACCATCCACGGGCCCTGCTGCAATCCCAGTGGGGAGAAGCAGCTTCCTTATGGAAGAGCAGGACACAGGCCAAGGCTGGGAGAGAAATTTACTGAAACGAGCTCAGGGTGGGCAGCTGAAGGCTGGGACAGCTCTGCCCACGGGGTCTGTGTCCTGCACAGCCCTTCCATGGCACCATCCAGTGTCACCTTGTCCCCAGTTTCCCATTTTCTGTCCCAGCTGGGGGCTCAGGGAGGGACTGGCTCTGCCTTTTTTCCTGCACCAACCTCTGGATCTGCCCCCAGGCCTCCTCCAGGTGCTGGGAGGGACGGATCCAGCGCAGGAAAAAACCTGGGAGGGAGAAAGGGCTGAGGGTGAGCTGAGCTCTGTCAGAGAGGGAAAAACACAAAAGGAAAAAACCTGGGAGGGGGAAAGAGCTGGGAGTGAGCTCGGCCCTGTTAGGGAGGGAAAAACACAGAACTGAGGGACAAAACCTGGGAGGGAGAAAGGGCTGGGGGTGAGCTGTGCCCTGTCAGAGAGGGAAAGGCAGAACTGAAGGAAGAAACCTGGGAGAGAGAAAGAGCTGGAGGTGAGCTGAGCCCTGTCAGAGAGGGAAAGGCAGAACAACTGAGGGTGGTTTTTGGGAGGATCCCACTCACCCTGCCACAGCTGGATGCTCTGGGGCTCCACGGAGGGCCAGATCACCAAGGGGTTGTGTGAGTACAGAGGGTTCAGGTACTTGTGCTTCTCCTCGGGCTGCTCCAGCCATGCCCACAGCGAGTGCGTGCTTTCCTTCACCTTACACAGGCTCCTGTGGGGGCACAGGTGGGGACACATCCCAGTCCCCAGCGGGGTTTGGTGTCCCCTGAGCCGTGACAGGAGGGGTTTGGTGTCCCCTGAGCCGTGACAGGAGGGGTTTGTCCCCACACCCACCTCTCCCTCTCGTTATTGCACAGGAAGGTGCCGTAGGCCGAGGCGTAGGCGTTATCAAAGAGGGTGAGCAGCAGCTGCTCCCCGAATTCCAGCGACAGGGGGAACTGCCGGCTCAGCTGCCACACGCAGTCGAGGAAGAGGAGGAAAACCGGAGCCTCCTGCTTGCCCCGGGCGTGGGAGGAGGCGGAACGGGCGCAGCGCAGCTGGAAGGGGTGCCCGGCCTGTGGGACCACCATGGTGACCCAGGGTGAGGCACCCGGCCTGTGGGACCACCATGGTGACCCAGGGTGAGGCACCCGGCCTGTGGGACCACCATGGTGACCCAGGGTGAGGCACCCGGCCTGTGGGACCGCCATGGTGACCCCGAGGCACCCGGCCTGTGGGACCTCCATGGTGACCTGGGGTGAGGCACCCGGCCTGTGGGACCCTCATGGTGACCTGGGGTGAGGCACCCGGCCTGTGGGACCACCATGGTGACCCAGGGTGAGGCACCCGGCCTGTGGGACCACCATGGTGACTCAGGGTGAGGCACCCGGCCTGTGGGACCGCCATGGTGACCCCGAGGCACCCGGCCTGTGGGACCACCATGGTGACTCAGGGTGAGGCACCCGGCCTGTGGGACCCTCATGGTGACCTGGGGTGAGGCACCCGGCCTGTGGGACCGCCATGGTGACCCAGGGTGAGGCACCCGGCCTGTGGGACCGCCATGGTGACCCCGAGGCACCCGGCCTGTGGGACCTCCATGGTGACCTGGGGTGAGGCACCCGGCCTGTGGGACCCTCATGGTGACCTGGGGTGAGGCACCCGGCCTGTGGGACCACCATGGTGACTCAGGGTGAGGCACCCGGCCTGTGGGACCGCCATGGTGACCTGGGGTGAGGCACCCGGCCTGTGGGACCGCCATGGTGACCCGGGGTGAGGCACCCAGCCTGTGGGACCCTCATGGGGACCCAGAGTGAGGCACCCGGCCAGGCTGGGACTGCCATGGTGACTCCGGGTGAGGCACCCGGCCTGTGGGACCGCCATGGTGACCCAGGGTGAGGCACTCCGGCCTGTGGGACCGCCATGGTGACCTGGGGTGAGGCACCCGGCCTGTGGGACCCTCATGGTGACCCAGGGTGAGGCACCCGGCCTGTGGGACCGCCATGGTGACCCAGGGTGAGGCACCCAGCCAGGCTGGGACTCCCACCTGGAGCAGACCCCATGGATCTGACCAGAGCTCCATGGAGGATTGAGATTTAACAGTAGGAGCTGCTGAGTCAGGGTGAGACAGCAAAATAAGCTCCTGTCTCTGACCCCCTGCCCTTGGCCTTATCTTTGTAACCTCACAGGCCACTATCCCTAACCCTTACTATTTTACAAGTTTGCATCCCCCTATACCCTATAAAAAGGGGCTGGTTTAGCCCTTTTGATAGAAGAAGAGCTCTGGAACCCTTCACAGATCCCTCAATAAACCATCGCTATGGAACACCAGGACTACTCCTCTCTCACGTCTGCTTTCCCTCAGCCAAAGGAACCCTAGCGAGCAAGCAAAGAGCTGAGATCCTGGGAGAGCTGAGAATCACCAAAGAGCTGAGATCCTGGGAGAGCTGAGAATTACCGAAGAGCTGAAATCACTGAGCTTGCTAAGGGTAGCCTGCAGTGGCTGTGAGGGCACTCTGTCTCCCTGAGGGACTGAGCTCCCAGACCATCCTGCAAGATGGAGCCTTTGTTGTACCCACCCTGCTCAGAAATGCCTCACCTGGATCCACTCCCGCTCCAGCAGCCCCTGGAAGCCCTGCAGGGTGCGGCAGGCGGGGTCCAGGATGAGCTGGGCCAGCGCTGTCACCAGCAGCGTGGTGTCCGTCCCCTCAGCGCCGTGCACCAGCACCGTGCAGCCCTCCCTGCGGGCCAGCCGGGGTTTGGGTCACACTGGGGACTCAGAAAGGGACAAGGTGGGCGAGGTGCTGCCCCCTCACCTGTCCAGGCACTGGGCAGCCAGGCAGGCCGTGCTCAGGGCGGCCTTGATGTGGCTGAGCCAGCGGCTGCTGTCCAAGCGGCACAGCCAGCGCTCCATGGTCACAGCGGGGTCAGCGCACAGCTCCACCAGCCTGGAGAAACTGTCCTGCAGCACACGGCCCCTGGGGACACGGGGGACACTGTCACACACAGGGGACACTGTCACACACGGGGGACACTGCACAGCTCCACCAGCCTGGAGAAACTGTCCTGCAGCACACGGCCCCTGGGGACACGGTGGCACTGTCACACACAGGGGACACTGTCACACACGGGGGACACTGCACAGCTCCACCAGCCTGGAGAAACTGTCCTGCAGCACACGGCCCCTGGGGACACGGGGGACACTGTCACACACAGGGGACACTGTCACACACGGGGGACACTGCACAGCTCCACCAGCCTGGAGAAACTGTCCTGCAGCACACGGCCCCTGGGGACACGGTGGCACTGTCACACACAGGGGACACTGTCACACACGGGGGACACTGCACAGCTCCACCAGCCTGGAGAAACTGTCCTGCAGCACACGGCCCCTGGGGACACGGTGGCACTGTCACACACAGGGGACACTGTCACACACAGAGGACAAGGTGGCACTGTCACACAGGGGACAGTGGTATTTGTGCCCTCACTGTGGTATTTGTGAGGGTCTCCAGGATGAAGGAGGAACTGAAAATCTGACTCAGAAGGCTGATTTATTATTGTATTGTGTTGTAGAATTTATATTTTATTTTATAGTGTATTTTACAGTATATTTTATATTACATTTTACATTATATTTTACATTTTATTTAATATTATATTTTATAAGTTATATTTTATGTTATATTTTATATGTTATGTTATTTTATATTTTATATTGTATTTTCTGTTATATTTTATGTTATATATTATATATTACATTGTATTTTATATTATATATTACATTATATTCTATATTATGTAATATATTTTGTATTGTAGATTACATTGTATTGTATTATTCTCTATAATATATATTATGTATTATTGCATTATATAATATTGTATTATTATACAATATTACATAATACAATAATATTTATATATTTATATTGTATAATTGTATTATATTTATATATTTATATTATATAATTATATTATATATTTATATTGTATTTTATATTATATATTTATTTATATTATATATTTATATTATATGAATGCTATACTAAACTACCCTAAAGAATAGAGAGAGGATACTTACAGAAGACTTATCAAGAATGACAATGCAAGCTGGTGACTCCTCAGATCCTCCGCACATCTGGCCACGATTTGCCATGAATTTAAAACCACCCCCAAGCTGGCTAAACCATCCCCAGCCCGCACCCAAACCAGCACACCAGAAGGGAATTTCCCAGAATTGCGGCAGCACCAGCCTCACCTGTCCAGGGCGCGGTGCAGCCGCCTCCAGCCGGGGTACGCGGATTTGTGCTCGGTGCCGCCGCCGCTGATCCGCGCCTGCTTGGCCGCCTGCGCCGAGCGCAAGTCCAGGACAAAACCGAGCCCGGCCCCGGCCAGGATCGCCCCCAGCAGCTGCTCGTCCTCACGGCTGCGCCGCCGGTTCGGGCCCGTCAGCGGCTGGCTGCTGCGGAGCAGGGCCTGGGGACGGGGACACGGCGGGGATGGGGGAGAGAGGGTGCCAGGGTGGCCTCAGAGAGCCTGAAGGGGGACCAGGAGGGCTGGAGAGGGGTTTGGGATAAGGGAGTGGGAGATGGCGCAGCTGGGAATGTCCAGGCTGGAGAGGAGAGGGCTCCAGGAGAGCCGGAGAGGGATTTGGGATAAGGGATTTGGGATAAGGGACTGGGGGATGGCACAGCTGGGAATGTCCAGCCTGGAGGAGAGAGGGCTCCAAAGTGACCTCAGAGAGCCTAAAGGGGTTCCAGGAGGGCTGGAGTGGGATTTGGGATAAGGGAGTGGGAGATGGTGCAGATGGGAATGTCCACCTCGACAGGAGAGGGCTGCAGGAGAGCTGGAGAGGGATTTGGGATAAGGGATTGGGGGACAGTACACTGGGAATGTCCAGGCTGGAGCAGAGAGGGCTCCAGGAGAGCTGGAGAAAGACTTGGAATAAGGGATTGCACATCTGGGAATATCCAGGCTGGAGGAGAGGGGGCTCCAGGGGCACCTCAGAGAGCCTGAAGGGGCTCCAGGAGGGCTGGAGAGGGATTTGGGACAAGGGATTGAGGGACAGGATACAGGGAATGGCTTCCCACTGGCAGAGGGCAGGGCTGGATGGGATCTTGGGAAGGAATTCTTCCCTGGGATGGGCTGGAATGGCTTTCCCAGAGCAGCTGAGGCTGCCCCTGCATCCCTGGCAGTGCCCAAGGCCAGGCTGGCACACCCCGGGACAGCAGAGGTGTCCCTGCCATGGCATGGCTGGCACTGGATGAGCTTTAAATCCCTTCCCACCCAATTCTGGAACCCTCTGCCGATGGAATCCCCTTCCTGAGGGGTAGGAGGAGCAGGCAGAGCGGCAGCCCGGACTCACGGTGCCGTTTTTGGGGTGGAAGTAGCTGAGGACGGGGAAGCGCCCGCCCTGGCGGAACCGCGCCGCCCTGGCCACGGCGTCATCGGGCACGGCCGCGGGCACCACCACGGCGGGCGGGTACGAGGGGCAGGCGCTGAAATCGCCGTTCACGGTGCTCAGCCGCCACCGGCTCGTCTGGGGGAGAGGCGACATCAGCGACATCAGCGACATCAGCGACAGGGCGCGGGGAAGGCGGCGGGTCCCCCCGGGCGGGCTCACCTGCGATGCCACCCGCTGGAAGTGGCACTCGGGGACACGCAGGTGCCAACCCTGCTGGAGCTGCAGGCTCGGCGGGCGGTAGAAGAACGGGTACAGCATCATCACCGAGTCCACCGAGGAGAGAGCCTGCTCGGGGACACCGGGGCTGCTCGGGGACACCGGGGCTGGCACTGTCCCCGTGTGCCAGCTCTGCGTGCCAGCACCGTGTGCCAGCGCAGTGTTTACCCAGTTAATGCCGAACCCAGAGCAAACACAGCAGCGCTTTTCGCACCCTTTCGAGGTCCGCAGCGCTTTTCCAACCCTTTTTTGCCCGGCTGGGTCTCACCTCGATGGAGCTGGCGATGTTCAGACACTGCTCCATGCCCGGGATCTCCAGCTGCAGCACCTGCAGGTCCTTGCAGCGCAGCGTGATGGTGCCCGAGGAGCCGCAGACCCTGCGGGAGGGGTCAGGGATGGCTTGGGGACAGTCAGGGATGGCTTGGGGACAGTCAGGGTGGGTTTGGGGACAGCCAGGGCTGGTTTGGGGACAGTCAGGGATGATTGGGGACAGTCAGGGCTGGTTGGGTGACAGTCAGGGCTGGCTTGGGGACAGCCAGGGCTGGCTTGGGGACAGCCAGGGATGGTTTGGGGACAGTCAGAGCTGGCTTGGGGACGGCCAGGGCTTGCTTGGGGACGGCCAGGGCTTGCTTGGGGATGTCCCCGGTTTGGGGACAGCCAGGGCCGGTTTGGGGACAGCCAGGGCTGGCTTGGGGACAGTCAGGGCTGGTTTGGGGACAGTCAGGGCTGGTTTGGGGACATTCAGAACTCGTTTGGGGAGAGTCAGGGCTGATTTGGTTACAGCCAGGGCTGATTTGGGGACAGTCAGAGCTGGCTTGGGGACGGCCAGGGCTTGCTTGGGGATGGCCAGGGCTGGTTTGGGGACAGTCAGGGATGATTGGGGACAGCCAGGGCCGGTTTGGGGACAGCCAGGGCTGGCTTGGGGACAGTCAGGACTGGTTTGGGGACATTCAGAACTCGTTTGGGGAGAGTCAGGGCTGATTTGGTTACAGCCAGGGCTGATTTGGGGACAGTCAGGGCTGGTTTGGGGACAGTCAGAGCTCGTTTGGGGAGAGTCAGGTTGTTTTGGGGACAGCCAGGGATGGCTTGGGGATGGTCAGGGCTCGTCTGGGGACAGCCAGGGCTGGTTTGGGAACAGTCAGGGCTGGTTTGGGGACAGTCAGAGCTCGTTTGGGGACATTCAGAGCTCGTTTGGGGACAGTCAGGGCTGGCTTGGGGACAATCAGGGATGGTTTGGGGACAGTCAGGGCTGATTTGGGGACACACAGTGACAGCACCGAGCGGCCCGAGGGCCGTGCCAGATTTGTGACTCTCATCCGCCACCGCCGCCGGGACAGGGCGAGGTGACAAAGCCAAAAAAGCCAAACCTGGTGTCCCGCAGGGAGCCGCCACTCTGGGGGGGTTGGTACCAACCTAAATTCTGCACGAGGAGGAGGAGGAGAAGAAGGAGAAGAAGGAGAAGAAGGAGAAGAAGGAGGAGGAGAAGGAGAAGAAGAAGGAGAAGAAGAAGGAGAAGAAGAAGGAGAAGAAGGAGAAGAAGGAGGAGAAGAAGAAGAAGAGGCAATGCCCGCTCTGCCCCCCCCCCCGGGAGGAGGAGGAAGAGGAAGGACGCGGTGCCCGGGTGCAGCGCGGTGCCCAAAGGGACAGAGGGTGGCACGGTGACAAGGACAGCTTTGGGGACATGCCCACCTTTTCTCCACGGCGTCCACGTTGCGGATGAGCAGCCAGAGCTCCAGCTCGCCGCGGGGGCAGGACGAGAGCAGCAGGTGGTGGCTGGTGATGCACAGCGTGCCCCGCACCGCGGGCAGCCCCTGTCGCGACAGCAGCACGTCCTCCACTGTCGCCGTCTTGATCAGCTCCGAGAACTCCATGGGCGCCGCCTGGGAGGGAGGAAAGGGAAAAGAAAAAATTAAAAAAAAAAAGAAAAAAAAAAAAAAAAAAAAAAAAGGGGAAATCCTGCGGCTCTGGGCCCGCCTGGAAAGCCCTGCCCTGCGCGACACGCGGCGCGCTGTCCCCTCTCCCTGGTGGCATTGTCACCTCCAGCGCGCGGCAGTGCCATATGGCGCTGGGGAAACTGAGGCACGGCTGGCTGAGCTGGCTGTGCTGGGGGAGATTTTGGGGGCGATTTTTGGGATCGCAGGGAGCAGCTCCCGGTCCTTCCCCGCCCCGCTGGGCTGGACCCGTTACCGACCTCGACACCACCGGGCTGGCAGGGTCCCCACGGGCTCTGCTGTCCCCAAAGCCACCCCCGGGGCTGGAGAGGAGGAGGAGGAGGAGGAGGAGGAGGAGGAGGAGGGTGGGTGGGTGGGTTGGTGGGTTGGTGGCGGTGCTGCTGCCCCGGGCACCCCTCTGCTTACCTGCTCGGGCTGGGTGGCAGGTGGGGACCGGGGGGGACAAACAGGGACAAGCCGGGACCTGGGGGGACAAGCCGGGACAAGCAGGGACCTGGGGGGACAAGCAGGGTGCGAGCAGGCGACCTCAGAGTGCCAACAGGGACCTGCCGGCCATAAGGAGAGGATTTTTTGGGGCGCAACCGGGAATTTTATGGGATTTAGGGGGACAAGGAAGAGCTCAGGGTGCAGGGAGGGGACCCCGGGGTGGCAGCGGGGGAGCTCGGGGTGCTCGGGCGGGGGTTTGGGGGTGCGGAGGGGCAGTTGGGGCGCTCGGGCTGGAGCGGGGGGTGGCGATGTCCCCGCACGGCCCGGCCCGGCCCGGCCCGGCTGGCGGATGTCGGGTTTAAGGTGGCCCGGGCAGGACGGAGGCGGCGATGCCCAGGGTGGGTTTGGGGCTGGGTTTGGGGTCGGGTTTGGGGTCGCTCCGTGCGCTGCCACAGCGAGGGGACACAGGGGGTGGCGTGGGAGGGGACACGCGTGGGGACAGCGGGAATGGGGAGCGGAGCTGGGGGACCACAAGGGGGATTTTGGGGACATTCTGTGGGGCTTGGAGGGGATGAGGGCGGGCAGGTGAGACCCCCGAGCCACCCGCGCTGCCCCTGGAGCCCTGCGGGCACGGGGAGGTGACACGGGACAGACCCGGACGCGGCTCCACCTTAAGGTCCCGTCCGGGTGCGGGACCCCGGCTGCCCCCCCCGGGCACCCCCCCCCGGTTCTTTTTCCTTCCTCGGGTTTTTTTTGGGCCCCCCCAAGACGCGGGGAGGGGCGGGTGGGACCGGGGATAAATCATGAAATCATTAAATCAATCATTAAATCATCGCCGCTCCTCAGCGCCCGGTGACGGCTCCGTCCGGGAACGGCGAGGCTCCTCCCGGGCCGAGACAATGATGTTAGAAAAGAAAAGAAAAGGAAAAGAAAATAAAGCAAAGTTAAAAAAAAAAAAAAAACCAACAAAAAACAAAAAAAAAAAAACCGCAAGAAGCCAAAAATACTCCTCTAGATAAGGAAATTCATAAGGAAATTCCTGCCCATCGGATTTGACCTCGAGGAGCGGATAAATAGCCGGGAACCGGGCGCAGCTGGGGCAGGGAGCGGGGCAGGGCGGTCGCGGGCAGGGCGGGGGCTTCATCCACCCGTGGGCGCAGAAATCAGCGCGGTTTTGGGGTCCGGGCTCTGCTTTGTCCCACCATGGCTCTGAGCCAGCTGAAATTCAAGGAACTGGGCGAGGAGGAGCCCACCTGGGAGCAGGAGAACCTGGAGAGCCTCAAGGCGCTGGCGGCCAAGCTGAAGCTGCAGACGCGCCGACCCTCGTACCTGGAGTGGGAGGCGCGGGTGAGGGGGCAGCGCTGGGGCACCCCCGGGGGCACCCCCGGGCCAGGGCAGAGCCCCCCGCACCCCCGGGAGCGGCAGCCGGGGGGCGATTGTGGCTTTGCCACCCTGGAGGCGGCTCTGGAGTGGCTCAGGACGGAGCTGGTGAGTGGCACAGGGACAGGGATGATGGGGACACCGCGGGGTGAGGGGGTCCGGGTTCCTCTGCCAACCTTGCTGGGTGGGCACGGATTGGATTTTGTGGCTCTGGGGTGCCACAGCTCTGCCCCTGACCCCTCATGGCACCGGCTTTGCCACCGTGGAGGTGGCCTTGGAGTGGCTCAGGACGGAGCTGGTGGCTGGGACAGGGAGCGGTGGGGACACTGGGCATGGCAGGGCGAGGGGGTCTGGGCACGGATTGGATTTTCCCAAGGGTTTTGCGGCTCTGCGGTGCCACAGCTCTGTCCCTGACCCCTCATGGCACCGGCTTTGCCACCCTGGAGGTGGCTCTGGAATGGCACAGGGACAGGGAGCAGTGGGGACACCGTGCCCGACTGCCCGACCCCACTGGGCACGGCTGGGCTGGGGGAGTCTGGGCATCTCTGCCAGCCTTGCTGGGTGGGCACGGATTGGATTTTCCCGAGGGTTTCGTAGCTTTACGGCGCCACAGCTCTGTCCCTGACCCCTCACGGCACCGGCTTTGCCACCGAGTACGTGGTCCTGGAGTGGCTCAGGACGGAGCTGGTGAGTGGCACAGGGAAAAGTGGGGACACTGGGCACGACAGGGTGAGGGGGTCTGGGCATCTCTGCCCGCCTCGCTGGGTGTGCAGGGATTTTCCCGAGGTTTTTGTGGCTCTGGGGTGCCACAGCTCTGCCAGGGTGGTGGCCTTGTGGCGGTCACCCCCTTGTCACCCCCTCCCGCCGCTCTGGGGGTGGCACAGAGGGCACGATCTCAGCCGTGGCCGTGCCCAGTCTGGCACCGCGGGCGCATCGCGGGGTTCGCGCCCTGGCCGAGCGCCATCCCCGCTGCCCGGGCACCGACCCCGCGGCTCCACGGCGGATCCCTGTCCCCCCAGCGGGAGATGCAGGCCCTGGACCAGCGGCTGGCGCAGCAGCTGATGCGGCTGCGGGCGCGGCTGCACCGGCTCAAGGTGGAGCAGGCCTGCCACCGGCACAAGGAGATGCTGGACGACGCCACCTTCGGCCTCGAGGGCTGCGAGGAAGACTCGGACCTGCTGTGCACCATCCCGCCCAAGGCCGCCTTCCTGCTCTCCATGCCGCTCAAGCACATCGGGGTCACCCGCATGAACATCAACTCCCGCCGCTTCTCGCTGTGCTGAGCCCGGGGCGCCCAGGGGGTTTGGGGACCGAGGGACTGGGGCAGGACGTGCTGCCCACGGGGGGTGACACAGGGCGGTGGCACCAGAATGTCACCATCCCCATGGGTGTCACCATCCCCGGGGCAGGGGAATGTCACCATCCCCACTGGCACCGGAATGTCACCATCCCCATGGGCATGGGAGTATCACGATCCCTGTGAGGCACCAGAGTGTCACCATCCCCATGGGTGTCACCATCTCCAGGGCATCGGGGATGTCACCATCCCCCCTGGGGTAGGGGAATCTCACCATCCCTGTGGGGCACAGGAGTGTCACCATCCCCATGGGTGTCACCATTGCCCCCAGGGTATGGCAACGTCACCATCTCCATGGGTGTCACCATCCCCACTGGCATGGTAACGTCACCATCCCCAAGGCACGGGAATGTCATCATTGCCCCATGGGCGCGGGAATGTCACCATCCCTACGGGCACTGGGAGTGTCACCATCCCCATGGCTGTCACCATCCCTGGGGCATGGGAATGTCACCATCATCTCCAGGGCATGGCAATGTCACCATCCCCGCTGGCACGGGAATGTCACCATCCCCACTGGCATGGTAATGTCACCATCCCCATGGGCACCTGAGTGTTGCCATCCCCATGGATGTCACCCTCCCCCCATGGGCGTGTCACCATCCCTATGGGTGTCACCATCTCTCCGGGGCACGGGAATGTCACCATCCCCACGGATGTCACCATCACCATGGGCACAGCAATGTCACCATCACTCAGGGGCATGGGAATGTCACCATCTCCCCTGGGACACGGGAATTCACCATCCCCACGGATGTCACCATTCCCCCATGGGCATGGGACTGTCACCATCCCCATGGGTGTCACCATCCTCAGGGCATTGGGGATGTCACCATCCCCTCACGGGCACAGGAGTGTCACCACCCCTGAGGGGCACGGGAATATCACCATCGCCTCTAGGGCATGGGAATGTCACCATCCCCATGGGCACTGTGAGGGCCACCATCCCTACGGGCACAGGAGTGTCACCATCCCCATGGGTGTCACTATACCCAGGGCATCAGGAATGTCACCATTCCCACAGGCACAGGAGTGTCACCATCCCCATGGGTGTCACCATCCCCATGGGCACTGTGAGGGCCACCATCCCTACGGGCACAGGAGTGTCACCATCCCCATGGGTGTCACCATACCCAAGGCATCAGGAATGTCACCATTCCCACAGGCACAGGAGTGTCACCATCCCCATGGGTGTCACCATCCCCCCCCCCCCCCCCCCCCAGGCATGGCAGTGTCACCATTCCCGAGGGCACAGGAGTGTCACCATCCCCCCGGGGCATTTTGGGGCCTGTCCCCGGGGCTGTCGGGGTTCAGCCCGTGGGGAGTGTGGGGTTCAGGCTCTGAGGTGCAATAAAAGCAGCCGAGGCTCAGAGCCGATGGCTTTTCCTTATCGGCGCCTCCAGATGTGACTGCCGCCCTTTCTCCGTGCCGGTGACACCTCCAGGTGCCACTCGGGGATGTGACATCCACAGACCGCGGGTGAACAGCGCCAGGGGAGCCTTGGGGATCATTTTGATCATTTTGGGGCTGTTCCTCCTTGCCAGGACAGGAACCGAGCCCGAACGTGTCCCCGAGGTGCCACATCCCCCCCCCCTCTGTCACCTCTGCGCTTCCTGCCTGCGCCTGCGGCTTCCCGCCCCATCAAAGCAGCCAGCACAATGTCACAATGTCGCTGTGGTTCGGAGCTGGCCCTAAAACAGCGCTGCCACCCCCGGGGGGCACCGCGGGTCCCCTCCGGTCCGCTCCTTGTCACCGC